CGAGGGACGGAGAAAGGAAGAGCGAGAGAGCGAAAGAGAGAAAGCAGTGGTGCTAGGGGTTGTTTGGCCAGTGCAAGGTTGCATGCGATGCAGCTGTCGATTGCCGCGAGTGGGTGGCTCAAGTGGTTGAAGTTGCCAACAGGGTTGCCAGCCGCATCTAGGAAGCAGCATATGCGGCGCCTGATATGTATGGTTTTGAATATATTTTCTAAAATTCTTTTAACTAGCTAACAGGGCTGACAACCCTCTAATATAATCATGGCATAATAATTAACAGGGTTGTCAGCTTAATCAACAACTCGCCAAAATATCCTAATCGTTTCCGATTAACACAGATTGCTTAAATAACATGACTATAAATAAGGCTCGAAATAGTCATCGAAGATTAAACAAAAACACATTAGCTAATATGGAGAGATCAAATGGCAAATAAATACATTTAAAAGTGACCTATGAGTGAGATCCAATATTTGTTTTTAGACTAAGCTAATACAGAAAAGGTAAAACTTTATTTTAGAGGCATTTCCCGGCCAACAAGAAGGAAATGGCTACTATAAATCGGCGAGAAATACTAATTGCTTTGATAAGATAAAGCTTTTCTTCGGTAAACCCAATCTTAATGCTATTTTTATATAGCCAAAGTAGTTAGTCGCTTTCATAATAAATCAAAAATATGAATTACGCAAAAATGTCAGTTCCCTTATAAAAAAAAAGTAATTTGCGAATTATCAATAGGAGTAATAGACAAGGATCCCACGTTCAAATGTCATAAAACTGTTTACTGTGGTATTTAAAAAGTATATAAATAAGAAACACGCCACTATTTGCCTGAACTAGTCATGCAAATGAAACTTTTGGACTTTTCGGACAATTGTCAGACTATCTTTATTTTGTCGAATTTCACTCGTATTTCTGTTTCTTTTTTTTTTTTTGATTTTCCGGAACCACTCTTGTAATGCGGAAGCGGAGTAGTCCACGTTCCGAGGGCGTACAATTCTCTCGCTTCTGGTGTATTAATTTGCATTTAGAGACTCGGGGGTCTGGTCTAAACATTTGCGTCAATGTCGAACGGCTGTGGCAACAAAAAGCACGTTGTAAAAATAACACAAAACAGCAGCAACGTATCGACGATCGAGCAACAATAACAAAAGCGTTAACATATCGAGACGGCGTCATCGGGTATTAATCGTATATTTAAGCCAACTGAGCAATGAATGAACTGCGCGCCGCTTTTCCGAGCGATCTATAAATACTACCAAATTATCCCGCCGTCAATCACTGTTTGATCAAGTGTTTGTGGGCCAAGTGCAGCGGCCAAAAATAAAGAAAAAAGATGAAAAAAAATAGGAACACACAAGAAAACTTTCACACGCGGGCTTTTAGGAAATGGGAAATGACTTTTCCATATTGACGCACATTTTTACCGCTCTTTCGCGCTCGTAGTTCCTTGGCATGGAGTGTCTGTCTTTCTTCGGATACAATCTATTACAGTCGACTAGAACACGTCAACTGAATTAGTTAATCAAGCAAAAGCGTAAGATAGCCACAAGCGAACCAGCGAAACAAAAAGAGCGCGCCCCCAAGCTTTGCTCTCTCTCGAGCTCTCTCTCTGTCTCATATCATGTTTATGGTTTGGATTTCATGAATTACTAAAAACGCGATAATAAAATATGCCTTGTTAAATAACTGAGTTATTCAATGATTGAGCAAGTTTGGCGTTGATATGCGAATAATATTAAGTCCATATAAATTCTGCATTTGGATAATTATATTTTTGGAGCTTTTTAATTAAATTGCATTTAAATAATTGCGACATTTAAAATAAAATCTAAAATTCGAATCCCATCATAAATACTTTTTCACAATTTCATAAAATGCTTAACGCATAAACATAGCCTCTCTTTCTCTCTTCCCCGCTCTCTGCGTAAAAGTGAGAGTGAAATAGCGTGGGCACATTCCACTCTCTCAAAAGCATATGCATGAGTGTATGTGTGCGTGCTACGATCTCGTCTATCTTCACATTGCGACAACGCTGCGTATGCGTGATGATCCCAAAAAAAATTGCGCATACGCGCCATAGTACAAGCCAGAGTTACCGTGTTTCCCCCCATTTTTTTTCTGTCGCCATGACGTCACGAACGTCGGGCTTACCGCCAACGCAGCTTATCTTTGGTCCGCTCTCTCTCTCTCTCACGCATTCCAAAAAATAATACAACAATTATAAAAACACTAAGCACGCGCCAAAGAGAACACTTACTGGTGGACACTCTCTCATTCTCCCGCACTTCCTCTTCCTCTCCTCTCTCTCTCCACCTCCACCTATTGCCATCTCCCTCTGACCACTGGTCTTCCATTTGCGAGGGAAGAAGCTCGCCCACGCCGAATCGTTTTCATTGTTAACTTTATTTTTTGTGCGTTTTGATTTTCTTAGCAGAATGGAATAAATATATATGGATGGATATATATATTCATACAATCGTGCTCAGAAAAATAGCACTGTTTATTAGAATAGCAAATCGGGGTTACCAATTTAAGAATTTCAAGAGCTCTGCGTATTCTTGAATGATATTTTCTTTCCATCGCATTTCTATAAGTTTGATTTTAAACTACATATTTCGATATATGGATAGATATTTATATTCATACAGTCATGGTCAGAAAAATAGCAATTCGGGGTCACCAATTTAAAAACTTTAAAAAGTTCTGCCTATTCTTGAATGATATTTCCTTTCCATATCATTTCAATATCTTTCATTTTTAAACTACATATTTCAAAAATTGATTTAAAGTCCTTAATATCACAATTTTAGAACTAAATCCATTTCTAATTAAATATGAGTAAAAGATAATAGAAGATAAGAAATACTGATTGATATTTGTCTAGCCCAGCTTGTACAACTGAGTGGGTAGATTAAGTGTACAAATATTGGTGGGTAGATAATACGTATATATATGTATATGTACCTCTGAAGAGGCTTTTTGGCAAATTGATCGAAATATGACGTTTTTCAATGCCGGCCGGCGATTTCTCAGTGTCCCCAAAACTCCCCCATAATACTCGTACATACATACATATATTATATAGACTTTTGTTCATGGTATGATCTCTGTTAACTGTACATTGCCGGCAGGGACGTCGCAATTTCAAGACAAACAGCAAAACAGCAAAGAGCGCAAAAATGTGGGACTCGAGCAAACGAAACGCAAATGAAATGGAAAACAACAAACTGGGCTGCTGATGGCTACCTGTTGTTGTTGTTTTTGCTGTTATTTTTTTAGTGGGTGGGGGTGGCAGGAGGCAGGAGGGGGTGGTGACAGTGGGTTGTCCCCAATCAAAATTACGTCTTATTCTGTGTGACTAAGGGAAGGAGTTGGGTACGTAGTTGTTTTCATCTTTCGCGTGGGCACACGAAAACCACCGCCCACGCACCGCATGCTGCGATAGCCACGCCCCCTCAACGCCTACCTCCCACCGCCCACCACCCCCTTGTGCGTGTTAGTGTGGGTGTGTACTTAGAGGGGGTTTCCTTTATTTTTTTGTTCAAGCGCTGATTGTGTGCACTCAACTACTTTCCACAACAAGGATTTCCCAGTCAGGTACGACAGTAATATTTTATGGGAGTTCATGTAAAAACAAAGCGAATAACTAACTTTTATGGGCGTAACAGTTGAATAATAGAGAAAGCACCACAACAACAGTACTCAAAAGGGCCTACAGGCCACCATTTAAAAAAAAAAAGTACAAAACTGGAAAACAATTGCACACAATTTTAGAATTTATAACTTTGTAGCTCCAGGTATTTTTAAGTTATTAAAAATTATTAAGTTATTGAAAAATCTATAGATTGGATTAAGAAAAAATTCGAATACAAGTTTTATTAAATCAAAATTTCCAGAGAAGAACACTGGAAATGGAATGGTATTACTTGATATCAATTATTATATAACCTTTTCAATTATGCTAAAACTGCAATAAGAAAAAATGTTTTAAAAAAATCAAAAAACCAGAAACTTGCTAAATTCAAAATAGATTATAAGCTTATTGTTATAATAGGAATGAAATAAAGGCCATATAAATTTAGATATTGCCCAATAGCGACTCCATGATCTGATCCCTCCATCCCATTCCTCCCACTTCCTTTCAATCAACAAGAACCACAAAGTAAATATGAAAAGAGAAAAAAATTTGACGCATGACATGAAAAGCCAACGAAACGAGACAGAAATTTTCAGCTTGAAGACATTTTTCCGCCATTCCGTTGATAGAGAATCCACAGGCCACTTGGCACACAGAAACTCGGATAGTTGGATGCGCGGATACTGATTCACAGATACGACAAACAAAAAAAAAAACAAGAAAAAAACTGCGCATATGGGCACACACCAAATGAGAAATATCTTTTGTATTAATAGAGGCATGTTTAATATTTTAATTTCAGGGGCCGCCGTGCCACGCTTCGTGCCTTTGTGGGGCAAGCTGGGATTGGGTTGCGTTGCGATGACGTTGACGCTGACGCTGACTTTTGACTTGCTAAGAGAGCCGGAAGTGCCACAATAGGGCAAACTGCAGGGGGCAGACACTCTGATGACAGGCCATCCCACCTGGAAATATGTCGGATTCTACTCTAAAACAGACAAATCTCTGCACAAACTTTGTTAGCTTTTCTTAAGGGTTTTGTGGTTAAATGGAAAACTTAATGCATTGACTCTTTAAAAAGGTTTTTAGGTTTTTCTAATCAAAACCAAATGTCTAATGCAACAGGTCAAGCTTAAATTTTAATAATTTACACTTAAACAGTCAATAATTATTTTCCCTTTCAACAAGTAGCTATACATTCTATACTAAATTGTCTATATTGAGAGCTTTCTTGAGGTATATGATCTCTGGTGATATAAAAACTTCTTACTCAGTCTAAGAAGGAGCCAACAAAAAATCTTAGAAATAATTTAGAAACCCTAACAATTGTGTTTCAGTTACATTTAGTAATTTGCCAGCCTAATTAACTGCCCAAAAGTATGCCACTCCATCGAAAACTCACCTTGAGCAGCGTGAGAATCTTCTGGGAGAGGTCGTAGTCAAAGTTCGAGTACTTGGAGCCGCTCATGTCGTAGATGAAGACGAGTCCCGCGCGCTGGGTTTCCGAATCCTGGAGCGCACTGTCCAGCTGATAGACGATGCCCTGCAGCGTGGTCGTGTGCGAAACGCACAGCGGACTGTGCCGATTGGCGGTGAACAGGGCGATGGCGGCCCCGCTGGAGGTGCGTGCAGGCTGAAATATAGGGAAACGGAAATGGTTATCAGGAAATTCAATAAGCGGATAGATTCACACACTCACCAGGATGGTAAACTTGCCGGTCTGCAGCTCGGAACGCAAGGGCTCCACATCGGGATCGATGTTATAGAGATACTCCTTCAGGCGGATCTGTTCATGCTGCTCGTACAGTGAGACCGCTCGCGGTATATCGAATTTACGGGCGTACAGAAATTTGACGGCTGTCGTATGCGAGATGTGGCGCCTCACGGGCACCGCCCCTCCACCTCCCCCTCCATCACCTCCATCTCCTGGCGCCGCCGGTAATTGCACCTGCAGCTGCTGTGGATGTGCTGGCAGCGGCGGCACAACTGCTATCAAGTTCTGCGTACTGCTCGCCGAGGAGGAGGAAGCTGACGGGGATGTGGCTGTCGTCGTGCTGCAGTTAGCACCCAGGTTGTTGCAGAGATCAATGAATTGTTTCACAGCCTGAAAAGTAAATCAAAAAGAGAAATTAATTAGAGCCGCCATGAGTTCATCAAAAGAATCGGGTATGAACCAGAATTTCCTTGAAATAAATATTATTCAAATATTCAAAATATTCCCATAAATATTATTGACTAGTTTTTAAAGAAAAAAAATTGTTACAATAAATCCAAAAGGAATTTAAGTAATTTCCGACATTTTTTGAGGAAACATTTTTCAAAAATACTGTTATCAGCTCAAAGTTTGAAGATCAGAGGAAATCCTTCTGACAGTCACAATAATTTATGGGAATTTATGGTTATTCCGAGACCTAAGATTCGATTCCATTTACAACAGCTACAACTACAACGATTACTTTGCGATTTTATGGGAAATAGTACTGTGACAGTACAAGTTTATCGCTTAAATCCAGTATATCTGTACAAATATCTTCGAGATCTTGAAAGATAGCCTCATTAAGAGCATCTGCGGCAAGAGAACGGGTTAGGTTTCAATGGGACCTCCATATCATAACCAAGTGAATTTACGACAATTGGTTAAATTACGGAACTAGTTCTGCCACTCTGACCCACATTAAGTGGTCGACTGGTTTCCGCTTAGCCATTGCCCATTTGATTCATGGGCATAGGATTGAGGATGGGATAGGATAGGATTGGACTGATGGAACGGGTTGGGGATTAATAAACCGGCGGTCTTTACGATCGGCGGAACTAGTTCAGAGAACTGACGTATCCATAAAATTGTGCAGTTTATGGAGTGATGCAAACTCTGTGTTCTCACGATATCGTGATGCTGTACAATTAAACACGGCTCCGCGATCATCTTTCATTTTGAGTTAATGGCTCACGCCCATGATCACATCACTCAGCTGTTTATATATATGTATATAGTATAAATATAATGCACATTGTGCAATGCACTTCTTATCTTCGAGATTAGGTGTATAAATGAGAAATATCAAGAAATGTGCCACCTTTTGGCATTTCCGTCTTTAGTCGAATAATCTGTATTTAACAATATCCGCGAATAAATTCGATTACGCTTGTTCAAATACATATAACACTGTCGTTACTTCTTTTGCTAGAGATAATATATGTATAATACAAGTGTAGTCTCAAGTTTCTGGCAAAAAGTGCAAGTTTCATTCAGTTCTTAATGGGTCAGTGGGGTGTGTTTGACCCCCTTTTCACAACAAGGTTAATGCAATCCGAGGAGCCCAGCCAACAGACACCAAAGTGTCGGATCAACGAAATTAAAGCATTAAACATACGCTTTTGTGGGAATTGCTCAATTAAAGGCAATTCGTCATTATTATTGGCGAGCCAATTGAGGCCTCTTTCGTTATCTTGCTCTCTTTCGCTATTTTTTTTGGGATTTACAGTGTTTATTCGGGGTCTTCTGCTGGTTGTTACCATTAACCAGGTGCAAATTCCATTAATTTCCAATTGCTTCATTCAACTTGCTTGGATTGGAGCTTCTTCATTCATCGATTTTCTATGCCAGCTAATTAGACAATCCAAAATGCCAGGCACGAGCACATATTATTATACATACAAGCGGCCCAGAACGGAACTGATTGGAACCGACTGAAACCGATCGAAACCCACCTGTTCGCGGCTGCGACGTCTTTGATACAGATGCACCATGGTCTTTTTGCGGTTTCGAGTCTAATTTTGAATCACTGACGTATCATTCGCACTTCTAACAAAACACCTGAACAAAAATTTGGGATATATCCTGTTTATGGGGGCTCTCTGGGGATCGATCTTCGCTTCCCTTTTCGCGACACGCCGCGTCCGAAGTTTCTTGTGTACTGAAAACTGCAAACACTCGCGGCCACTTGGCTTCGATCGCCGGGCAGAGCGGAAGGCAGCGCTGTCGACGTCGCAATCATCGTCACCGACTGATAGCAGATACACTGGGAGAAAGACTATGGCGTTTTCGGTTAGCTTTTTAAGATACGAAAGCCCAGAGAGAGCTACAAGATATATTACAACTAGCTTAAGTTGGGTATATTCGAGTTAGTAAAGATCAAATGGGAATAGAACAAATATTATATTATGGTAAAGTATAGTCTCAATTGCTTACAATTTTTAATTGGTTTCTATATTTATAAACATTGATCTTGTTAATATAATACTTTTTTAAGTATTCAGAAACTCGAATTTGAAGATGAAATTTTTAAAAAATTTAAAGAGTTAATGAAGCTTTTGTATCATCTTCAGCATTCTTCAGGTTCTTTAAATTTTGAAGTATAAAATAAAATCATATTTTTTTTGAAATTTTGTAGATAAGAGTCTATAATTTTTTGATCTGTGTAGCGGGTCTGCGCTGCTGCGGTTAACGAACTGCAGGGGCAGAGAACACGTTGAGCGATTTCTCGGAAGCGAAGACGCGGGCGGCGCCAGCGGAGGCATACCAACAATTTGAGTCATGCGGGAGTCGCCGGCGGAGACGGAGCCACCATATGTCACCCTTCGACCGGTGCACAGTGGGCCAGATCGGTGATAACGGCAATGTTTGATTAGTGCTGCGACAAGCGATAACTTATCTAGCAAATTGTGTTCGTGAGAACTCGAGCTTTTATCTGGCAAAGTTCGCAGAAGTTCCCATTAAGTGAACCAAAGCCTATCAATTAGCATGAATTGGGTTCTACGAGCTCACGTTCGTTTGCGAATTCTCATAAATTAATTTGTATTTTTTGTGCCTTGCGACAAACGGAAAATGCAAGTTCATGCTAAATATTGGTAAAATTGTCATTGATTTTTTGCAAAACAATTTGGATTCCAATTTATGGGGAAACCAAAGACAGATAATTTGCGTTTCGCACGAAATGCTTTTTCTTGAGAAAGTAACTAACTAAATGTTATAAATAAATTTATGGGGGGGGTCATTAAGACACAGATTTCTTTGAAACGATTTTTTTAAAGATAATTATAATTTATGTTCATATTTTTTTTTAGAAAATATATTCACATTTTATGCAACACTTTTGACCCAGTGTGCGGGTCCAGGGATTCCTTCGAAACGGCTTCGAATCCGGATGATGTGAGGCCCAAAAGAGAGGTGAGCGATGCTATGCGTCATCGTATTTATGATCCTCACCTCTTGCCCGCCGATCGTGTTTGTTTATCTCGCGTCTTTCTACGAATACATTATATCGCAACGGAGTCTGGAACGGGGGCTTAATGGTTATGACATAAGATATGTATATTCAATTCAGGAGTCATCGAAAATGGAATCCAATGACTGGTAATAGGACTATTTCGGACGATATTGTCCCTTGGAAATGCAGTTTCAAAACGAGAAGCACATGTATGTTAAGTGGAAGTGGAACTAGATATCTTTGGGTATTTGTTTACGATGTGTCATTCGTCGGTTGTGGGTTTGTTGTTAAAACCAACAACCTAGGCCAACCTAGGTCACCGAGTCTTGTCTAGTTTTAGATACCCGCTAATGGCCCCGCGGGCGCTACTTTCACTTTTGCGGGCGGGTCGAGGCGGGGCTGGACTGGAAATCAAAAAGGTTTATCGGAGAGAGTCGCCCGAATGCCCCGGATTGTGACTAAGTTCATTGGAATGGGTCAGCTTGTTTGTCTTGTATCTGCTGATGCGCTGATGTATCATTTCCATGAAAATATCTCAATCAATCATATGGTTGAGAAATGTTTACAAAAGATCATTAGTTTGTTTTGTGGTTCTGAAGGAGTTTTTAATGATAAATCTTGTATGTCGTCGTTCTTAATTTATCAACCATAAAATATTTTAATATTTTTTAACAGTCTAGAAATAGCATCTTAAAAATCTCGACCATATTCTTTAACAATTAGCTATGCTATCGTAAAGAAAGAAAAGAAAGAGATAGAGAGGCGGAAGGCGGTGCACTCACTTCCGGTTTCGGTAAACAGTTCGAGTCAGAGTTCTGGTTATGGTTATGATTACAGTCAACGCAAATCCCCTGGCCAGAAGAGCCAGTTAATAGAGCAACAAACAAAGCAGCTCCGCCAAGTCTTCTTAACTGTTTGCATGCAAAGTAAAAGCGACAGACCTCGCAAACTGTTTCAATCCGTTCCATTCCGTTCCGTTCGGTTCTACCTGGAAACTGTAAAACCGCTCGGGGCCATGGCTAAATCGGTGTCTCCGATCTCTGGAGAAGACTCTTTGCTTGCCGTTAACGGCCGCTGAGCATGGAAGCCGAAAGCTGCTGGTTCTAAAAAATCAGCCAACGATCAGCGATTGGAAAAGTCCCAGCCAAGACAGTTAGATTCGCTTGGAGAAAGACCAAAACCGAAAATCCAAAACCAAACAGCACATGCATATTGGGCGGAGAAAGCAGTACTACTATCGACTGATCATCGCAGTAGTTACTGCACACAGATCACTCATCATTTATGATTTCATTGCTGACTAATCTGTGTAGTAAATGGAGCATTAAATCAGAATAAATATATTTACGCTGAGTTGCAATCGGGTGGGTCAGTTAGAAGAGCCAAAACAGAGCTATATAATTTTTTTAATGATTTTTCCCGGTATTCGTATGGTATCAAATAAATATAGCATTTAATTTTCTTAACTTTACCTACAAATTACAATCCTAAAGAGCTTATTTAATGCAGAATTTAAATAAAAATCTGTTAAAAACACACCTTATCCATTTGTCGCATTGTAACCATTCAGTGAGCTCGGAAATAACCCTCATCAAGTGAATTCCGCAGAACCACCCCCACGATCCTCATTTCGCCATTATTTACGGCTTTATTCCGGCTCCTTTCGACGATTTCCTTTCACAGGATGCAGGATATTGCTGACAGATTGTTGTCTGAGAATATTGCACAGTTTCCACCGAGGCAGGAAACGCACAGTGAAGGGGTTTGCGTTTTTTTTTTTGCTAGCAGAGGGGTTAGGAGGGGCTACTTCCTTTCACACTTTCGCAATTGATTCGAAATGCTCTGCTAAAGCGCATTTATTATGCTTCCGCTTGATGCGCAGTCGCAAATTGGTTTACGGGGAGTGATGATATGGGGGGGCCTTTGGGATGAGGATGGGGAGAGCAGAGAAGACCTGACCCCATAGCGGATTTATGGCAACTTGAAGCGGGACAAAAGACCGCTCAGTTCGCATTTTGCCGCTACAGTTCAACTTCACTAGCGTGAACCACGTGAAAAATAAGTTAAAAAGATTTTCAATTCGTATTCTTGGGATTTTATGAAAATCTGTACATATTTTTAAACCATTTTGAAAAAGAACTTAATTAATTTTAGGAAAAGATACAAGATATAAAAAAGCGATAAGATCTGTTCATTAAGAATATCCACTATGCTATTCAAACGGTTTATCTTCATTGTCTATCCATATGGTTCCCCCCTTTTCAGCCCCCCCTCCCCATTTCGCCACGCCCATTTGCATATGAACAAACGCTTTTAGAGAGAAATGCTAAGAAGCAGCGGCGAAATTTCATTTGCATGCGAATTGATGTCGGGTCTCCCGTTCAGCTCGTGTTTCTTGTGCGATGAGATGTGTTACATATGGTACGAATCCGAGTTCCAAACGGAACTTGGCCAATGGCAGAAGAAATGCGAGGCGAAAAACAAAAGAAACCAGCTGTTGGCTTACGAGGAGGAGGAATTGGAGATGGAAATGGAACATGATTTCATACTACCAACAGCAGCAGCTATTATTTTTCGGAAATATCTTATAGCATATTTCATGGAAATAGGTGAGTAATTAACATGTATTTATGAGCACAACATATGGATGGGCAAAATGTAGGTGTTTCGTAATAAGGGCATGCAATTCTTTGTACTTTGGAATTTAAACTTGAAATATAATAAAAAAACATTAATGGATTTTAAGAACTGCCTTTTTTAGCCTTATTTAATTGCTGATTTTATGTAAAGACTACAAATATCTCAAGTTCCCAGATCTAACACTCTTTTTTCCCGGTATTAGGCAATTTAGTACTAGTTTTTTTGGTAACTCTCTTTGTTCTTTCTTCAAATTGAGTGTAGAACTTTTATTTAATGTCAGATCAGATAAGATAGGTTCTTAGCTACCACTTGGTATAACTAAGATGGGTTCATTCTTTCTCTCACTCTCTCTCTTAAGACAAATACAGCATCAGCGATAAGTGAGTGAGCAAGTGTGTTGTTCTGGCTTTCCCGGTAATTCTCAGGTGGGATGCCAACTTTAGAGAACTCTTTGTTCGATGCTAATGAACTAGAGAAGAGGAAGAAAGAACAACGGGGGAATACACCTCATCTAGAAGCTCCAAAGAGAGCAGAGCAACAAGTTGAAAAGGAAAAGAAGGAGCAAAAAAGCCAACAAAAACTATCTATAAATAGCCCAGCAAAAACACTGCAAGTGAAGGAGAAGGAGAGTAGCTAACAACTACACTGAACAATAACGGAATAAACAACAGAATCCCACATAAAAAATCTTTGTAATTAAATCTTATTTGTATTTAAATCTTTAAAAAATGTGGGTATTTTAAATAACATGGAAAACTATATTCTGTCCTAATAACATATCAATTATTTTTAGTGTAGCACAAAAGAGAGGCCCATGGAGAGAGAGCATCCTGAGATGAGAGGGCAAAGCCAAGCAAAGCTTAGAAAGTAAAAATCTCAGTCATGTGTGAGAAGGAGATGGATGTACGCACACACACACTTTCACACACCTTGGCAAAGCACAGGAAGAGACGCTGATGACAGCCGCTATCCTGCTCGCTCCTACTGCCACTGTTGTTGTTCTTATCCTCCGGCTTGTCCTTATTCCAATGCGTTCGCTGCATTTTGATGCATTTTTCTCACACACGAACAGCAGAACGAGCTCTATATTGCACACACAAAAACAAATAAATAAATAATAATAGTTTAATTCCACATCACAGCGAAGCGACGCGAACGCACGAGGCGGATGGATGGATGAGACGAGATGAACGCGCGGCGACTGACAACAAACAATGAACAACGAACGGCGAAACGGCGAGAAACGCAGCCAGCAGCCTCTGCCAACGTCAGCAGAGGCGTTGCGCATGCGCAGAAGAGAAAGAGGAAGGCACAGTGGGCCAAACAGGCAAAAGGTCAGTGGAAAAGCAAAATTCTAGTTCGAAATTAATAGTTTGTATTGTGAGCTTAAAAACCTAAAGCTATTTTTCTAATTTTTCATGTCATATTTAGACATAAAATGTAAGTCTCGAATCGAATCATTATTTTATTACTAAACATGACGCGAAATAGCTTTAGGTTTTTAAGCTCACAATACCAAATAATATAGGTCATAGGTTTTATTATTATACGACTAAAAACTATTGCTTAAAAAATGGCAAGAAATATAAGTTCTTTAATCGTCAAAGGAGGTAATTTGCACCACTGTGGAAGCTGAGCGAATGGAGCTGCGCAGTCCGCCCCATTACAAGGCGTTGCTTTTGTTGTTTCCGCTGCTGCCACTGACACAGTTCAATGTCAGCCGGCGAAAGAGAGAGGGGGGCGAGGCTGAGAGAGAGAGAGAGCGGGGGCCAATGTTAAAATTAAAAGGATGCCCATTAACAGTGATCATGATCTGTTAATCGCCAGCAAATACAGTGGAAATTCCCAAAAACTTTCTCTAAATAACAAAATAAGAAAAAAATAATACAATTTAAATATTTTAATATTTAAAAAACCACTGATTTTTAACTGCAAATATTTTTCTAATATTAAACTTGAGTATATTTCTAATTGAGAAATACAAACAAAGTTTGCAGAGAAAGAGCCCACTGTATTCTAACAGAAGTGCGCAGCTCGCTCAGTTGGAAGCCGCCAATGAAAATGTATAAAAAATGTGAGGAAAATAACTAAATCAAGCTTAAATCTTAATGCCCAAAGGCACGGCTCGCTGAGCGGCTTTTGTGCTTAATTTAATTTATTTTCTGTGCGCCGCTCATGACTTCTTATGAAAGTGTTAAGAAATTTCGCCACAGTTTCGAGTGACGTTGGAGAAAAAATTTCACTTGCTTCGCGTACGATTCACATATGTATGTAATGTACATATGCGAGTGCTTTTTGTTTTCTACCATTTGCGCATGATTATTGTTATTATTTTTCATTATTATTACGCTTTCTTGTGGCGCGCGCTCTCCCGTCTCTCGATTATTTAAACAAAACGCTCGCTTAAGTCTGTCTGGGTTCCGCCAGGGGGCGTGACATTGAGACAAGACAAAAGACTCGAGCATCACGCTTCTCCTGCTGTTGTTGTTATAATTATTATAATTATTATTACTACTATTGTTGTTGCCGCTGCCGAGCACACATCAAGCTGAATAAAAAAACTTTCTTTTCAATGCGTTTTTATACACAAATCCGCATCGAAAAGAAATCACCGCAGCTTAAACACACATATGTTAATACCGATGTATCGATCTGATTGCTACAGTCTGACTTCAAAAAGGAAAACCCACAACAAAGCAAGATTCAACGCCTCCTACAAGTTGGAAAAAAGTTGTAACGTGAAATGGTAACAAAGAATACAAGACATGAAATTTCTAAAATAATACTATTCGTACTTTGTTTTAAAAAAAAGTTCAAATAAATTAAAATTCTGATAATAATCTCTATCTATCTATCTCGAACCCGTTAATCTTTTAGACTCGTTCGAGTTTAGTGAAATGCGACTGTATTTGGCGCCCTCAAAACGAGTTTGATCCACAAATTAGCCACCGCTGGTGACCCCATTCCTCATAGAAAGTGATCACAAATGGGATTAGGGGCGTTATTATTATTCCCCCTCCACCAATAAATATGTACATATATATGTATGTATATCTATGGGGTTACGCAATGGAGCGAGATTCGGGTTCGGAATGAACCGAAAACAAAAAAAAACCTAGTAACTGCCTTCGATGATGCGACACATTTCTCCAGTTGGCCATGGAACGTGACTAAGCTGAGCAATTGAAAGCATTTCTCGTTCTCCATTTCTCCGGCTAAAAACTTCTTATGTCATGTTCCCCGACTTTAAACTGCTTTATAACGAAGTTTTGTAATTTACATTGAAAATGCGAATATACAAAGAAAGTGCTTAAAAGAGTGATTATAATATTATTTTCAAGATGGTATTATTTATTATAATTAAAATCTCTTTAGGATGAACCAGATAAGTTCCTAAAATATGCATTATACTTGTATTATACAAGATGGTATTATACATCATTCCTTATACTTGTTTCAATAATATGATAATTAGTTAGTAATAGATTATTTTGATAAGAACTGTTAAAAAAGTAAGATTCATCAATTAATACCAACATTATTTTACAGATATGACTCCAAGTTTGGTTGTCGAAAAATAGCAAATGTGTTTTGATAAAGTCTGAAAGTCTGCGGCAATAAACCTATGGACTTTAGGCGTACTTGGCAGCCCTTCGAGTTCCCATATCTCGCTCCTCATCCCTCCACTCCACTGTGGACTCAATTAAGGCTGCCATATATATCCATTCCCCTCCTGTCCAATCCAATCCGTTTTATGCTTCTGGCACAGCCGATGGGCAAACTGCCAAGGGAGCATAAGAGCCTTAGAAAAGCAAACAAAACAAATGAAATGTTGCCTTTTTAATTATCAGAAATGGCTAAAAACTTCTGAACAGGAGAGAGGGAGAGCCAAGCCAAAAACAGCAACATGTTTTTGGGGCCCTATGTAGGCCAAACAAATGAAAAGCCCTCGGTCGCCACATTTAGCGCTATACCTTTACACACATATACTCGTACCTCCCCCAAAACTTATTTCTTTTGCACAATGTAAATCGGTCAAACCAATCAAAAGCGAAAAAAGAGCAACAATGCCCCCTAAGAGTTCTTTCAACTTGGTTTTTACGTGCTGGTCTAAGTTTTACACATGGAAAAAGTTAGGGAAATATTATATAGTCTAATAAGATTACTAAACAAAAAAAGACATGTTTATATTTTTCAAAAAATATATTCAAAAATTTTATTTTAAACCTACACAAATTTACAATCCCTAAGATTTTAAATCCCCAAAATAGATTTTTTTTCCGTGTACCATAGTTGTGATTTTTTGTTAGAAATGGTTAAAAGCCCGCGGCATTCGAAAGTGTTGAGGATGGGATCAAGACAAGTTGGGGAGTCGAGAGATGAGAGATGAAAGATACGGATGAGATGGGGACACATGTCATTGTCAGGCCGTGGTCCAAATGCAATTGAGAAAATATCGCAATGAAGACTTGAGCACGACACAATGAGTCGAGTCGAGATAAGATGAGATGTAGAAGATGGGGAACAAGAACAGCGGAAATGAAGACTCAGACAATGGGACCTTTCGCATTAGAAACTATATATTTGTGTACAGAACTAAACAGAACCAAAGAGCAGCCAAAGTAAAAGCAAAGCGAAGCCAACAACTTTGGTAGTAATTGTGCAAAAGAAAGCCAAAGAATTGGGAAGAGCCAAAGAATAAGAGGGATATGGAAAAAGACCAAAAAGTTAGATATATACAGCACAGTGGGTACTCGGTAAGAGAGAAGATAATTGGTATTATGTGAGGATTAACTTTGTAATGCAGATAAGTCTTAGTAAATAATAAAAAATAAAAAAAATTAATTAAAAAAATATATTATCTATATATCTATATATATCTTTTGTGAAATTTATTTATTTTTCATTTCACTTTTGGATAACACCTTAAAAACTGATTTAAAATCTTTATAATTTATCATCCCACATCAGTTTCTGTAAAAATTTCATAGCATACATTTAGGCACCCAAAAAAATGATAAGATTTCCTGATGATAAGTAGCTTCCGTATAAGTGTTTAGGTTCCTAAAATATTTGCTATCCCTATCTAGTATTTACTGTACTCGCAAAGAAATCATCGCGGAAGCAGACAAGTCAAATCCCAGCCAGCATCTGAAGCTCAGTGGCGACGGAGCATCAGCGGCAGATTGGGATTCGGGTTCAGAATCAGAATCAGAATAAACTGGCGGCGGAAGAGAACTGGGACTCTGGGTCTCTGGTCTCTGAGAGCCACTCACCCGGTCGGTCACATGCGAGTGTGCGAGTCGAGTGTAGGGTGAGTGAGTTCAACAACCTGCATGATTGGCATGGAGGCATGAGGAGGCAAACAACAAAAACGAAACACAATGCCCTAGCTGCACACCAAGTACTCCTCTATTTCCTCCTCCATCCCACCATCCAGTGGGATCCAAAGCAATCGCAATAGCTCCAATTATGCATAAGTAAATGGAAAATCGTAATAAGCCTCTGGTCGAGGGATCTGGCCACGATTAAATGGCCGGAGTCAGATAGCCAGACGGCATCCATTGACCCACTTTGGTGGCAAATGCACATCCCCCGCTTCTTTGGCCAAACAATCGAAGGGGTTAACAATGCAGGAAGCACGGAAATTAAGGCCCATTTGTGGAGATTTAGGGGAGGATAAACTTTAATTATTTTTCTTTCTTTAAACATCAGATGTAGATTAAAAAAAAAAATTTATTGTTAAAAGGCAATGTAAAAATGATATAAAATTTAAAAATTGTAATTAAATTCAAATTTTAATCCAGATTTTAAATACTGAGCTTTTTTATCAGATATAAAATTAACAAAAAAAAAGGTTTTATGAAAAAAAAATTATATACAAAAGTGAAAATGATATAAAATTTTAAAATTATAATTTTAATCCAGCATCTAAATAAGATCAAGTAAAAATACTGATAAACACACACACATATATTCCACAACCTCAAATCTTTATGGCTAAGTATATAATTAGTAAATAAATAACACATCTTTATACAATTACGAATAATATACAAGTAGGTACAAAGAACTATTCAGAGCAATTTCCACTTGCACCCATATACGAGAGTATCAATGAAATATTCTCGAGCAATCAGATTCACGCCTATATATTCCTACATATAAAGTGTATATGCCATAAATAAATGGCGCAATTGAATTTTCCAGATGCAAAAGGTTTCCACTTAAGTTACTACGAAGTAGTTTGCTTAAAGAGATTAGATTTTCCTTAGATATTTGCTTTTGGGTCTTTTAGAGTACTGTATTTAGTTTAAGTTTATGGTTTAAAGCCTGTCGGACATTAAAAGCTACCTCTTCAACTCCCGAATGTGCAAAGAAAAAATATATATATATTCTGTAGGGAGTCTCTACACACCTTTTGTAGTTTTTATTATTTTTGCATTTGTGGGCTTGTCTCTGCTCTTCTCCCCTATATATGTCTCTATATATATGTTTTTTGCGCCTGCTTGTTTATTTTCGGAATATTATTTTTGCTAGGCGCTCGGGGCTACCAGAGAATTGGAGGGAAAAAAATAAAAGAAACACCCCCTCCGTCGTTCCAGTTTCGATTTCGGTCCGGGCGGCTGTTCCACTTCGGGTTTCTGTGGGCTGTGGGCTATGGGCTATGATAAGGGAGCACTGGGATTGGGATTGGGCTGACCCACTTCCACCCAGTCTAACGTACACACATGGGCCCAGTCCCAGTCCCAGTCCCATTTTATATTTTTTTATTCGCCGCTTTTCGTTTTTAATGAAAGTTATTGTGGCCGCTATCTGTGGCACAGCCCTCGCGGCTTAATCAACGCAAATGAGGAAGCCCAGTCGAATCAAGAACACAGGCATAGCAACAGGCTGCCGTGCCGCATCCTGATTTTCATCCTTCTCTCCGACTGACATGGGTTATTGTACTCCGACTGGCTGACTGGTTGGGTTCAAAATCCCGGCACAAGGATGCCATAATAAATCCAGGGCAACCGAAAAGGGCAAAATGTTGCTTGGAAGGAAGGAAGCCAAGTTTTTGTGGGCAAAACGGGGGCGGGGGGACGAGCAGTCAACTGCAATGGGACACAAAATATTTCATAACTTTGTAAACGCTTGCCAGGCAGAGGTGGAACTGAAAAGGGTTTTGGGGGAATGGTTGAAAAATGCAGCAAAGCTTTTTTAAAGGTGGAAACACAAGAGCCCAGGGAATTTAGAGCTAATTATTTAGGGGGAGTTTAAAAGTGATTTTAAGTTTTGAAATATTTTAATAAAATAATATAGATACATTTCATTATGTTTTAAATTATATATAGGTTACAAAATGTATAAAAAAAAATTTTTTTTATATTATAACTCCCAACAAGTGGGATTGTAGGATGAAAGAAAAATATTTTTTTTTTCTTTTATTATAACTCCCCAAAACTTTGGATTGAATGTTTTTTTTGCATATTCCCAAGGTACCCCCTCTCCAAAATAAGAACACACCGCCACTGGCACAAATAAATTTATTTGTGCACATGGAACCGAATGGAGGATCCCGAGAAACCAGAGTGTTGTCATTGTTGTTGCCCGACTGTCTGCCCTTTTTATGAGCAATTTGATTTATGCATCGAGCAGACAGACAAACAGACAGATAGACAGACAACAGACAGATGGGGGTGGTGGCATCCACATCCACATCCACAAAAGTTGGCAAATATGCAACAATGAAAACGCAACAATTTGTAGTTAGTAATGTCAATTCAAGTGAAATCAATTGTGCGCACACGAAATATGCGCAAATTGCGGGTGGGAGTGAAAATAGGGAGAAATCGGTGAAAGACAACATCAAAGGATGCCAGCGGGAGTTGTCATTTTCAGGACTTTTCCTCAATGGAATCCGAGTCCTTCGAATGCCACAAGCGAAATGGGAAGTCGACATTGAAATGCCGAAAAAGTTATGTCATTGAACCCACAAGTATTCGAGTTATAGCAGTTTTTTGATTTACGTTGTAATCTTTCAAGATAACCCACTAAAAATACTTTAATATTCTAATTACAAATAATTAATAGCTTAGAGGTTGCGTGTGAAAACCATTTTATGTACAATAGTTCAATGATTAAAGTTTTATTAGAAATATCTTAGGTTTCTAGGTTCCTATATAACGCAAATCAGCTAAATAAGCTTTTTTTCCCACCTCATCATCACACGTGCAATAAATAGCAACAACGATAAATTTGCATGAATGAAAATTTCGCTTAAAACCAATTTTGAAGACCCGAACACAAAGTTCCAAGGAAATACGAATTTACGGGGTGGATGGTTTTCGGGGGGGATCTTTAGAGGAAAATAAATAAATTATTGGGAAAGCACATAAACAACGCCACTTCCGATTGGCGTAGAGAAAACGGGCAAATGGAAATTGTGAAAAACTGACGACTACAAAGGAATTTCGATGTACAAATTATTGAACCCATTTGCAAAATGACAAATAAATTTCGAGGAATTATTTAGCCAATTTTAAGAGTTCTGGGAAGACTTTGAAAAAACTATTTCAAGCTGCAATAAAAGTTGTTTATTTATTTTCCCCAAAAAGAAAGATGAAAGGAAATTATATGATATAGATTTTTAGTGGACTGCAGTGAATTTATAAATTTAGGCAATAAAAAATGGGAATTGGGTAATATTAATATATTTTAATATTTTGATTTAATGTATTTTGCAAATTGTACAAGGAAGGCAAAAATTTTGAAGTTCTTTGAATCATATAAAATCATAATATTAAAGAAACAGTTTTAAAGTAAAATAATTTATAATACTTATTATTATTCGAACAATGAATCACTTAGTAATTTTAGAAACATTTAAAGATTAATTTGTATAATGGTTTATCAGCTATAAGCTAAACTTAATAATGTTGGAGAGTTCAAGTGACTCCCATTTTTTTAAAACATAAATTTAATGTTTTATTTTGAAAATTTAATGATTTTAGTGCATTAAAAACAAGCTATAAAATGATGGAAATTTTCAAGACCCAATTAAATAAATATATTAACTCGCTCTCTCACTCACTCCGCTCTTCTTCTCCTTCTCCGTCTCTCACCCTCTCGTTCGCACCCGTTAAGTGATTAAGCAAACAATGGCAGTGCATTTGTGTGAGTGTGACAGTGGGATTGGGAACAAAGATTTGTGCAATGCAAAATTGGCCGGCTTAAAAAAAAACACACAAGAAATTGCTGCTATTTTAACGAAGGGAAAGCGTTTTTCCTCCATTCGTTTTTGTGTTTTTCTTTGCTTGCAACTAAACCGGTTTTTGACCCTTTTGCAGCAACAAAAACAACAACAACTGCACTCCGGAAATCACTTTCCCTAATGAAGCGAACCCACACACACACATTAAGGCCTCTTGTTGTTGTTGTTGCATTGATAAGAGAGCTGCAACGGAATGCGAGTGGGAGGGAGACGAAGCGATTGCGGAGGGGCGGGGGCGGCACGTGTTAACCGACATAAACACGCACACACACTTGCCATATGTACATGCCCATATACATATATACATTTATTGCAATTGCGGAACAAACGCACAAATACCGTCACACAAAAAGTTTGTCCAGCTCACACACAGGTGTGTTCGCACACCGACACACACACAAACGCACGCACAAAAACAGGTTGAAGACGAAAATTTCGCCAAACGTTTCTCTCTGATTTTTAACAATAAACTATATTTATTTGTTTGTTTCTTTGGATTTGTTTGGTTTTTGGAAGCGGAACTTACGAATTCTTGTTCCTCCATTTTTTGCTAGAAGTGGGCGAGCGGCGATGGAAACATCGATTGATTTGTGTTTCGGAAACTTTGCAGTCATCGATGTTCGCTGGCGACTATCGGTGTTTACTTATTTATCGGCGGCACTTTTTTTTAAATTTATTTATTATTAAATTAAATTTATCATTAAATTTATAAATTGTTATACCATTTTTTTAAACTAAAAACCTTTAATTTGCTTCGTAACATCGATGTTTACATTTTATCGATGGCGACTATCGGAGGTGGGTGTCCTCGCTGGCTTAGCCGCGTCACCCTCCTTCAGACCGTTTGGGAAATTTGAATTTATTATTTTTGGGTCACCAATTCAACGGAATCTTGTAAATAACACGAAACCAATAAATCAAAAACCTTTCCACTTGATTGTTTAAAATTTTTAATAAATAAAACTAACTACACACAAAAAATAGGTTCAATGGGGGCAAAAAAAAAATCGTTTGAAGGCTTCGGATGGCCTAGGCCTTGGATGGATTCTCTTCGCTGGTGGGAATGGGCGCGATTTCCGCCTTGGTCTCCTCCAGCAGCTTGGGTTCTGGCTTGGCTAGCGGTTCGATGGGAGCCGAAGTGGCTGCCACCGGGGCGGCGGGCTTCTTGGGCGCCGGCTTGCCAAAGATGGCCTTCTCGATGCCCAAAATGGGAGCCTCAAAGGCCAAGGTGGCGAAGATGGAGGCGCACAGGGTGAGGCCGAAGTCGTGCCACCAGCGGAGGATCTATAGGAATGGTATATATGATTAGGAAGCTACCTTATAAGGAAGAAATATCCCCTATCTTACCGCATCGTAGTTGGAGAAATGGGTGTCCGTCTGCAGACGCGCCGCGTTTACCAGCTGGACAATGCGATGGATGACGTACATGCAGTAGCACAGTCGGCTGAAGCCCGTGAAGAAGCTCCAGGAGAGGAAGTCGTTGATCAGACCCCCGTGACCATTGTAGCAGGCCCAGACGATCCAGCCGATGGACAGGGCCCACGAGGTCCTGCTCAGCGGCTCAAAGAAGGCGCCCTCAATCAACGGCGAGTCGGGAGTGTCGGGCAGGATGCGCCAGTAGGGTCCCCACATGCAGGCCAACATTGTGCCGAAGGCCACGAACCAGCCGGTCAGCACCAGGGGCTTCGTCATCGGAATCTGGCGACCGCGATTGCGGGTGAACAGGAAGTAGCCGAAGATCACACCGATCAGCCAGGTGGGAATGCGCGTGTGGGTGGGATAGTACGTAAGCCGCTGGCGCAGATCCACATGATCGTCTTGGACGCGGAATAGCGTAAAGTCGTTCAGCATAAATGTGGCAAAGGTGCCGCCCAGGCACAGAATCAGGATGATCACAATGGGCACCAGGGCCTTCTTGCCCCACTTCCACAGCGGGATGAGGAAGAGCGGCGACAGGAAGTAGAGCTGGGTGTCCACGGCCAGGTACCACGATTGCGAGATGCACTGAGGATTAGAGAAGAAGGGTTTAAGATTAATTAATAATATTTCTAATAACTAAGGATTAACAAGAATTCGGCTGGAAGGACCAAAGGGATGAAAAGTATTGCAAAGTTCCAAAACTATTAACGGTAGAATCTTAATATAATTTATAAAATTTACTTTAAGATCACCACCGATCAATTAGATTACAAAGAACTAAGGAATAACAAGAATTCGGTTCGAAGGACCAAAAAGTACTACTGATAGAATTGAATAGATGTAACATTAAACTATCTTAATAGATGTAATGATGTTGAAACAAATAGAGATTTGGGATCATCACTGATCAAACTAAGGATTAAAATGTTTTAACAAGAATTCGGCTCGAAGGACCAAAAATGACTACTGATAGAATTGGAATATATGTAACATTAAAAGGTTTTTAAAGTATAGAAAATATCTTAATAGATGTTAAAACAAATAAAGATCACTTACAATGCTGTAGGGGAAGGCGTAGTTCTGGACGTAGATCAGCGTGGCCCACCAGGTGTCGGCGCACCGCTTGTCCTGAGTGCCCAGCTTGAACCACATGGGTCCGGCGCCCGAGTACTTGTAGAGCGACATAATGTACAGGACGACGACGGCCACGACCGGCGTGAGGCGGATATACCGATGGAAATACATCATGGGGATGTTCAGCTTGCCCTTGGTGCGCTCCATTTCGCGGAAGGCGCCCCAGCACATCAGCAGGCCGGACATGAAGAAGAACGTGTCCACGCAAAGGGAGCCGTTCTGGACCAACATCGAGTAGGGGGTCTGGACCCAGGTGTAGAACTTGTTCTTGTTGATGTGCGGCAGATCGTAGAAGGTCATGTAGCCATGGCCGAAGACCACCCACATCATGCTGAAGCAACGCAAGCCGTTCAAACAGTGGATCACATTCGGATTGTTCACCTTCTTGACGGTGAAGATCTTGGGGGCATTGGTCAGCACCGAGAAGGCCACCAGCAGCGGTTTCTTGGGAGCTAAGCCACAAAAAGAGGTTATACTACTACTATATAGTATACTTTGGTATTTCCAACTTACCTCCATTGCGGGTCTGGATGTAATCGTAGACACTGCTGGCCAACATGAAGAAGATAATCGTCGAGAAGAAGATGCTGTTGGCAATAATAAATTAGAAATATTACTAGGTATAGAATTTGGCTTATATAACATATACTTACATGGCGAAAATGTCAATGCCGCGCAGCTCGATGGGTGCATCGTATTTGCAGCGCGCCTGCGTGACCATTACGCTTTCCGAATCGGTATAATCATTGCCATACATTTTGGTGATGGCATACTTGAGCAACTCGTCGGTCTTCTCGGCACTGCAGGTCTTGGGCACACAGATGCCCAGCTCAAAGAACTCCGGATCGGTTTGCTTGTAGCTAATGCGGGTGAACTCTTCGCCACGTTTCTTGACCGATTTATAGAACGTAGTGATGTTCAGGCTAGCCAGGCAGTACTGTCCGCGGACCTCCTCGGTGTGGGTGCTAGTCGCCGCCACGCACTCCTCGTACTGACCCATGCTGATCGTGTGGCCCCAGAAGAGACCCATGGGCAGGCGACCCCAGGTGTCCGGAACTGCAGGTGATCGATACAGAAAAATAGCTTTATTAAACTGTTATCGTTTTATATAGAAATTTTAACAAGAATTTATGGTAATCGGAAAGTTATTGCGTTGTATCTATCCGGCTCGAAGGACCACATATAAATATTTCGAGAAGCCACTCTTGACTTTCAAGTACTGTATTAATTTAAAGAAGTACCCCAGTACATTCGAAAAAGAATTAATTTTTTTTTCTTTACAGATAAGACTAGCAACTTTCGATTCTGCACCTGCAGGCTTTATGCTATGGGGGATTTGCAGCAGCGATAAGACGTCGATATGATATGGGATAGATACGATTAGTGCTGCGACTGCGGACCTTTGAATCGTCACGGCTCTTGTGCAGTTTACTACTCGGAATTGATTTATGGATCTCGTAAATTGCACTCCACTTCAAAACGTCAGCGATACGAATAGAAATTATGAAGTATGAATGGAGTTGTGAAATTAAAAATCACATATTACGAAAGGTTGTTAAAGTTACGGATTTATAGGGGCCTCAGTTGGTTGTAGAAAATATGAATGGGGATTGTGAAATCAGCGAAACGCGGTTACGCCGTTAAATCAAGTTTCAGGGGCTATTTTTAAATAGAAATAGAAAAAACGCGATGTATCACCGGATCAGATCGGATCAGTCTCATTCTTAATCTTTTAATCTTCCTAATAAATTATAATACAAATTCCCATGCAATATGATATCATGTGGGAAATTTCGCTAACATTAGCCAGATCTTATCGCTGGCAATTCAGCAGCAAAATTGATTTGAAATCGAAATTATGGCCCTCATAAAAGTGAAATCAAGGCTAAATTGGATTTATGAATGACCAATAGGGGAATTTGCAGTGCAGATTAGGGGGCAATGCAAAAATTCAAGTGGATTGCCGGCAATAAAGGAGAGGTGATAAATTAGATGGGATATTAATACGTTGTAAATCTGGAGGATAGTAGAATCCGCGTGAACTATTAACTAGTAATAGTATAATACTTGTATTAGGATAATAATAATTAAATATCCAAATTTAAACTAACAAAGGACAATTTTCCGATTCAAAACAGTAAAAAAAAAAAATAAAAAATAAAAAAAATAAATAAATAAAAAAAAAATGATGAAATAATCACAAATGATCATTAAAAAATTCATAAAATAAAAATAAAAAAAAAAATAATAATAATAATTAAATCACTTCAAATCATGATCACTTTATATACCAAAAGTCCTAACAATCTATGTGAATGAGCACTTCCTGATAACGATCCCTGATCCCCAGATGGAAACCATCTGTATATAATGCTTACACTCCAGAGCCCACTCCTCCGTATTGTCGATGGAGTCCCGGATGAAGGCGACATCCCGATCGCAGAGGTCGTCGTCGTAGGTTCGATCCTCGTAGACGCGGGCCACCTGATTAGTTCTATTTTGGAGCTGGGAATACTGCGAGGCCAAATTGAAGAACTGGTGGGCCAGACTGCCGCTCAGCGGAGTGGAGTGTCCGGTGAGTAGGTAATTGGACGAGGAAGAATCCTGGGCGCCGACGGCCGCGATCAGCAGCGCGACTGCCAGGACACTGAAAAGGTCCTTCATGATCCTGCTACGTGGATCGTATACTATGATCTCGATCTCTGGAGAACGCGTCGCGACCACCTGAAGGTGGAGTGTGTTACTGAGTGGGCGATCACATAGATCGCACGGCTTTTATAGGCTAGTTCCTATAACTATTTCTTTTTTTTTTCGGCCACCGTTTTGAGTGGGCACTCAAGTAGCTGGGTTGGTTGGATGACCAAGCAACGCCCGCCCCTGGAGTCTATAAATATTGAAAGCCACTGGTCTTGGAGCCCCAGTAGCCCTCTGATAAGGGTAAGGGGCAAGCTCTCTAATCAATTGGCTTGCATTGCCCACTTTATTGCCCCGTGTGTGTGTCTTATCTGGCTAACTCAGATTACTCCATACTTTTTGGCTGGATTCACCAAACGGATTTGTGAAACGAAGTCCAAGCGTCCATAAATCCATGTCAAAGACAAAAAAAATAGTAAAGATTGCAGACAGTTCATCATATTATCAACCCCGAATACGATCCACCAGTTAGATTCGGTTTAATTAAATTACCCACTGCTAGGGGACTTTGGTCCCACGAGTGGCCCACCTGAACAGACAATTATCCGATAATTTCGGTTGGTATGGGGAAAGTCAAGGTCGATTTGGGGAAGGGGTTCCTGAAAATACGAAGAATGACTATGGCACCTTTCATAAGATTAGAATACTATATAATTTAGACAGTATCTATTGGAAAGGGGAATTATATAATAGGAAACTAGAATCATTTTAATATCAAATGATATAATACGGTGAGTGCGAGAAATATTTAGATTAAAATGGTATTATGAGGAAATGATTAAGAATTAAATGTGATAAGAATGATACAACACCTATAAATAAATCAAAAAGTATAAGTAGAAAAAAGTTACAGCATACAAAAATATATAATAAATGTTGAGATAGGACGGTTTTGGGTTCCTGCTAAGCCAATCGAATAGAAGTTTCCCCGAATAACCACACCCCAAAAAAAAGCGACCCAACACTTCCCAGAATTTAAATAATCTCGGTCGGGGCGCCGCGGAAACGAAACCATTTCAAGGAGGTAAACAACCAGGCAGTCGATAAACCCGACGAAGAGCATAATCAGCCTTATTTCATTTACTATATCAGGCAATCGTATCTCCGATCCGAGAGGCCACTTGCCCCTGTCTATTGAGATCGAGTGCTGGCATTCGGCATTCGGCATTTCGGAAGACACTCATCACTCACTTGAGATGGAGTGCGGAACCATCGATAGGAAAACCGCAGGAGTGCAATCTATATATCTCTCACTCTCTTGAAAGAAAGCAAAATTTGTTTATGGCGTGGGAACAACCTAAGAACACCCGTGACTCGGCGGTAACTTGTCGACCAACCCAACCCAGACCAACCCACCCAAATCTTATCTGCCGATTACAGATTACCCCGGTTACTAGCTCAAGACCAGCTGGGCTGCTCCATAGAATTAGATTTACTAGCGCAGGAAATCATTGTAAACCAATTGTACCAAAAACTTTTCCACACCGAGAGAATCGAATCTCAGTCGGATGTGGTGATCGTAAATTAAGAGATAAGACCGCCTGGCTGGCGAAATTTTGGAAGCCAAAGGTACAGGTTGAATCAGATGAATGAATCACAAATTGAATCACAGATTAATTAAATTATAGCTTAAGTATTTACATTTACAATCATAATATCCCTTATTTATTTCCAAATTTCTTTCTAGAATTCCGTGAGATTCGCTTTTCCTTAGAGTGATGTCATTGCAAGGTCGCCTGATCGCGTATGTTTGCCTCCATTTGGACTTTGCGACCCCCCGCTGAAGGTCTTTCGTACTACTCATTCGCCTGGGGTGGACCTGCTTCAGATGAAATCATGCGCGGATCCACGGGGGGTGGTAAGGGTGATATGTCACCGAATACTAAAAAAAAAACAGGTTTTTGGCCGACACAACGGAAATATTGATCTAAATACGCATTGTCATACCTTTCTGAACTCGTTATAAAATTTCCAATCGATTTGCATTCAAACCTGGAACTTTTAATTTTTTGTCATTTTTTTCAAAAAATCTTTATGTAACCCCTTATCAAAAAAGCGAAAATTTGATCAAAAATTATTTTTTTTAAATCGCTCAAAAAGTGCACGGATAATAAAATATGAGTCGTTAGCTGCCCAAAACAGTAAGCCTTTTTGATATCGGACCATTTTTGTCCAAGTAACAGCCAAAAAACGGTAAGAAAAATCATATTTTTATCAAAAAATTTTTATCTTCATTTTCCACCCAAAAAATCAGTATTTCGACCATAAAAATAATGGTCCCAATATGGAATGTCATACCTTTCTGAACTCGTTATTGAATTCCCAATCGATTGGCATTCAAACCTGGAACTTTTAATTTTTTCTCATTTTTTTCAAAAAATCATGATGTAATCCCTTATCAAAAATGCAAAAATGTAATCAAAAATTATTTTTGTTAAATCGCTCAAAAAGTGCACGGATATTAAAATATGGGTCGTTAGCTAGCCAAAACAGTAAGCCTTTTTGATATCGGACCATTTTTGTCCAAGTTACAGCCAAAAAACGGTAAGAAAAATCATATTTTTATCAAAAATCAAGACCATGATTTTCCACCCAAAAAATCAGTATTTCGACCATAAAAACGTAAGTAATGTTCCCAATATGGAATGTGAACCTCGTTATATTACCAATCGATTGGCATTCAAGCCTGAACTTGCAAGAAAAATCCACATCATTCTTACATACCTTCTTAAGGACTATAATAATAACCGTATACCGTACCACTAAGGTCCACCTCTAATAGCCATATCAGGGATCATGATTCGTTCCGAGGCGATGGGATCTGCACACATATATCCCTCGGGGCTAGAACGTCAATTGGCCGGGGGCACTTGAAACTGTTTTCGACACATTATTTATAGATGTTCCAAGTGACGATGGCACGGGTTGATAGTTACGGATAATTCCCAGCAGCGCACGGCAATCCATAAAATAAACACCGCCCGCTATAAAAGAAGAGCGGTACGGACTTTGCACTCCAACAGCCGCTGTTCTCCCGACTTCCGCCTGGCGATATACCCACTATAAAGGAAAGTGAAGCGACGTCTTTGGAGCTTAGGGGCCATAAATCCTTCCTGCGGCGAATGTGAATCATATCGACCCAATAATTCAAGGGCTCTCCACTCCACTCGTAACTCTCGATTCTGAATTCCCCGAACCCAGACGCACCTGCTCCCTTATCACCAACTACGTTTCGCCATTGAGTTCTATTTAAATTTAGGCAAATATGCATTGTATATGGGTTGTGTGGTATGCATGGTCCGACATTATTTTTGGACCATTATCGGGCGTGTCAACAGATTATATAATCACTGCTTAATCTTGGAATGGATTAAAATGCACTTGGAATAATTATAAGGAGAGTTACCGTTCCCACATAAAAATCAACGTTTCGTTTTAATTTCATAATTTTTATTTAAATTAATTTATTTTACACTTTCAAGCAAAGTATTTAGTTAATTACAGTGTTGTTGTTTTTTTTATTTTGTTGTTTTTGTTTGCTTTGTTTTGTTTCGCTTGGTTCGCTGTGATTTTGGATCAATACGACAAAAAAAGAGGGGAAATAAGGTGGTAGGAAATAGAGATTGGTAGAAACAATAATAATATTAATAATTATAATCATCGTAATAATAGTAAAAAAAATATTTATATATTTATGTTTAATCATACACTCATGCAATGGATGTGTATGCGTGTGTGTGTTTGTGGGGGGTGGGGAGTATATGTGTGTTTTTTTTGGGAGGGGGTGTCATTAAATTAATGAAATCTGATAGAAAAGTCAAAGTCATCTTATCAGCTTAACTGTCGCACTATTTTACAAGTAGGTATTATGTCGTAACGGTTTATCTTTATCATTTATCATTATCATTTATCGTTATCGTAATCATTAGCATAAACATTATCGTACTCATTATTATTAGTTATTAGTATCAATCGTTTTTACTTTCGTTCTTCCTTTTACCGCTTTCTCTTCTCTTCTCTTGTTTTGTTGTTTTGTTTTTATGTTGTTGTTGTGGTTGTCGTGTTAGAACTAGTTTTTACTAAGGCTTGGTTTACTTTACACTTGACTTATCTATCCTTCGCATCCTTTGTGTTTTTTTTTCTCGAGTTCATTCTTTTTTTGTGGGTTTTCTGGGCTTTTGTTATAAGAAATTACATTTTGTATGCATAATAATAAACGCGTTTTAGCAAAGTGCTTCGTCTTCGGTTAACGATTTTCGTTTTTCTTTTTTTTTCCGCTGCTACTGCATTTAGAATAAATGTTCATTTTATAATTTACAAGTGTGTGGACTTAACTATATATATTCCTCGCTCTCTCGTGTGATCGATCATACCTATATATATATATAAATGTGTATATAGCGCTGGTTTTTAGACTAAGGCTTAGAATCTAGGTATCATCCGGTTAATGCGTTTTGTGTTCCTCCTAAGTTTTCTGGATTTCTGGCTTCCGGCTTTTCTTCTTTTACTTCTTCTTCTTTTCATCATCATATATAATTGTAATCACAAATAGTTTTGGAATATGCTCTCTCTCTAACTTTCTTTCGCTCTTTAAGCCGCTCTCACACACAAAACGGTTAAAAAACGATAATTGATGTGTCTTTGCCACTCGCACTCGCACACTCACTCAGCCACTCTCTCTATCTCGCTCTCTTTCACACCCATAACTTTGTTCATTGCTGCTGACTGTGTGGTATAAAAACAAAAACAATGCGCAGAAAAAAGCTTTTTCTCTCTGTCTCCCTCTCTCTCGAACATCCTTCATTTTTTTTTGGTTACTATCGTGGGTTTAATTAATATTTAAACGCTGCGCCCGCTAATCCGATAACTTTTTTTTTTTAGTTTTTTCATTTTGTTTATTTTGCACCAGCACGCGGCGCCTGCGTTTTGAAGGCAGCGTCTTGTTATCGCAACTATTACCGATCAACGATAGTCGATAAACAATTACCGATCATTGTTCCATACGTTAAAAGTACAAAGGCATTCGGCGGCAGAGCCCAGTGACTTGAGTATGTTTTCGTTTCTATATAATAATATTTACTTTAACTTGCTTTATTTTTAGTTTTTGTTTTTGGTGTCTGTTTTTTTTTTGTTTTTTTGATTGTGTGCAGCGCAGCGTGGGTTATCGGTTTTATCGGTGGCAGGCGCAGCTTTTTTAGTTGGTTTTCCAATTTTTTTTTTGTTGTCTTTCGCTTAGCTAAGGAAACTATGCGCGTTTCGTTTAAAAACACACTAACTAAAAGTATATATCCCGATATATTTATATATATGTATGCCATATGCGTGTGTGGCGGTGTAGATCGATCTATTTATAAACGATATAACCGATTTTTTCGATATATGTATGCGCGGCTTACGAACTAGGGCATTGGATTTTACAAACTGTCGCGTACGTGACCTACTACACCTATCAGTAATCGTTAATCAGTAATCGGTAAATATATATATATTTATATATATTGTGTATTTGTATTTGTATTCGTATGTGTGTGTGTGTTTTGGGGTATTTACAATTTAATGTTAGTTACTTGCTGATGTCGCAATTGAAGGCATTTTTATGCGCAGTGAATAAGTATCCTAGTATCTAAAATTTACAAAATCCCCTCCATCTACTGTCTCGCTCTCTCGCTGTCTCCTGTCTCTGTCTGATTCTTGGGCGGCGGCAACTGGTAGAATGAAAACAGTTTGAAAACGAAAACAATATCCTGCTTCTAGTCCTTCTAATCCTCCTAATCGTCCTACTCCAAACATACCATCTTAGATGTACGAAAAAAAATCATATTTAGACATGATATATATCATCCGATTTATGAAAGAACCCAGTTGTCGGAAACTACAGACTACGTCTAATAAATAGTGATAAAACTAAATCGCGTTTTAGCCTAAAAGTTTATAGCCTAAATGGTTTTTTGTTTTTGTTTTTCTTTCGTTTTAGCGTTAATAAATAGCAATCAATCCTGCGTCCCCCGTTTTAAAAAATCCTTCTTCCTGCTTTTATTTTTTTTGAGACAATTGGGGGTTTTGTTGGCGCTCCCTTATCCTTTTCTTTTGGCTATCACAAAATCAAATACTAAGTTAAAACGTCAAGTTATTATTAGGTTGCTATGTACAATAGGTTCGAAAATAATTAAATGGATGTATAATAAATCGAGGAATTAGGAACGGAACGCGCACACGCACACAAGCACACCGACACGCATACACACTCAAACACACACACACGTGGGGGCGAAGTCCTTACGACTAAAAATCCTTATTTCAATATAAACAATCAATTCGTGAACAATTTGTTAGAAATTACAACTCTAATTAGTTGTCCTACGTACGCATAATAATATATATATATTTATATGTTGTAAATGTTAGTTCCTTACTTAGTTCAAGTACCCTAAAACTGTTTTCAAAGCATTTTGGCTATTGCTATTTTGTTGCTCTTGTTAATCATACTCCTTTCGTATCGCTCCCCCGGTCATCCTACTCCTCTGCTAATCTGTTTGGTGTTTCGTTTGCTACTGTCCTGATTCCTGATTCTCCTAATTGTCCTCCCAACTCTCCGCTCTCCTCATCCTCGGTTATATACTTATGGTTGTCTGTCAACTGGAAGTGATTAAATTGGGTTCAGATGATTGGGGGGGTTAGGTTATTATCGGATTGGTTTAGGTTTGGTTTAGGCTAAGGATGAGGATCCTCGATTTCAAATACGATTACGATTCAGATTCCCACCGATCTGCGATCTGTGTATAAAAATATGTATTTACTCTATGCGTGTTCCCAATTTGAAGCTCCTATAAGGAGCACTTAATCAACTGCCGATCGATCGCCGAACAGGCACATGTTCACTATAGGCTATATATTTCTTGTGCGGATGCGGATGGTCGGGTGAAATGTCGTCGTCATCGTCGTCGTCGGTCAACTGGCTTACAACACTACAGGGGTACAAAAAACTTAATTCAACTTTACAACATCATCTCTCTTTTCTCTTCGTTTGTTTTTTGCTTTTTTTGTTAGTGGCAGAGTCACAAAATAAATAATTTTACGTTATAAAACATTGCGACTTTCTACGCAAGTCACTAAGGAAAGGTTTTTAGCTTTTGCTCAACGTTTTAAACGCTGTCTGCTGTCTGTCTGTCTATAAGTCCTCCTGATCCTGTATGCTCTTCTATTTCGGTTTCAGTTTTCAGTTGAAAGAACGAATTGCATTCATTAATTAATACATGGTGTGTGTGTGTTAATAGGGCATATGAAATATATGATATATATATTTGCTTAAACGCGGGCCTTAACATGGAAATCGAATCATAATGCTTTGTTCAAATTTTGTCCTAGACTTAAAAATAAAGGGCTGGGCGAAATATCTTAGTCTATAGTACAAATTAGGTGTGATAGTTGTTGATTTAATTATATGAATAACGCTATACAATTAGGGGTGCGGTTTTTGATAAAAAAAAAATAGATAATTATATATAATATATAGAATATAGTTGCGTAATAGTCGTTAAAGTTTAACACACACTGGTGATCCCTGCTGGCTGATGATGATGTTGCTGTTGTTGGTCGTCTGGTTTCTCTGGTTTACCATTCTTCAGTCTACGGCTGCTACCAGCTGCTGTTGCTGCACTAGAGCCGCTCCACAAACTTGGTCAGCTGATCGGAGGCATCGGGCAGGGCTCCTCCGGCATTGCCCACACCGCCTACGTTGCCCACATTCACGCCCACTCCGACTCCGACGCCCACGCCGACGCCTACGCCCACATCCTGTGGAACTCCGGGCAGCGGCGACTGATGATGCATCCCATGATTGTGCATTCCATCGTGCGGCGGCCCCTGCGGCGCCGGCGAATGGCTCATCACATGATGCGGCGAGGGCTGGGCCCTGGGCGAGGCGGAGGGAGCGGCTCGAGGCGAGGGCGCCGAACGCGGCGATGGCGTCGGCTGCGGCGAGCGAATGGGCGGCGAGGAGCGGGCCGATTGCATCAGCTGCTGCTGCAGCGAATGCGGCGTCGGGGGACCCATCACCTGGGCATTGGGTCCACCACCGCCGCCGACCACCGACGACGGATTCTGGGCATTCTGGGCATTCGGCATGGCCACCTGCATCATCTGTTGCTGCTGCAGCGGTTGCTGTTGCTGCTGCTGTTGCTGCTGCTGCATGCCCGGCGGCATGCCCACGCCCATCTGCTGTTGCTGCTGGCCGGGACCGGGCTTTACTCCGACTCCAACTCCCACGCCGACTCCCACTCCAACGCCCTGCTGCTGTTGCAGCATATTGGAGGCTGCCGCCGCATTGGCCATCGAGTACTGATCGCCACCGGGCACGGCATTCGCTCCGCCGGGAACTCCAACGACGCCGGCGCCTCCAGCACCGCCCACCGCATTAAAGTTGCCCGCTCCGCCGCCGCCGCCACCGCCGCCGGGGAACTGCTGCTGGCCGGGACCGGGTCCCGCTCCGCCCATGTGCGGACCACGCTGGCGCTGCGGATACGGTGGCGGGTACTGGTTCATCTGCATGTAGCGCATCTTGTTCCAGTTCTGGTTGGGCACCTGTGAGGGGTGGTGGAAGGTTCACTTAGTACTCACAGACGGAATTTAAGGGATTAACTTTGGTTTGGCTAGGAATACCAAGATTATTTCAAAGAGTTGTGTAAATATTAAATCTCATAGATAAACCTCTCAAAAAAGTTACTCCTAATACATATTTTCCATGAATTAGTTTAATATTTAAAGAAATAATAAGAAACCCTGAGGGAAATTTAAATATTATAACCCAACCGAGTTCCTTAAGCTAATTTATAAAATCAGTTACATGAAATATGGCTTAATTCCTATAACAACTTCTTATATAACCCCTTCAAAAGTACATTAAAAAAATTTTTTCTAAGAATTAGTTAAATTTGTATAGATATAATAGGAAGTCCTGATGAATATTTTAATAAATGTAACCCAGCAATTTCTTAGGTTCTCATAAAAAAACTGAAGCTAACATTTCAGGTAACATTTTCAACAAATTTTTAAGAATTTTTATGAATATTTTAAGCTTTTGTTAAATATTTTAAAATATAAACTGAACAATTTTAATTTTAAAAGAAAAAAGTATTTATAAAACAATTAAAGGAATTTCTACCTCATAAAGAAACCATGTTGGCTTTAATTAATATTTTCAACGAATTCTTACAAATTTATATGAATGTTAAAAATCTCCGTCTTTGATCGTAATTTAAATTTTAGATTTCTAAAGTAATTTAAGGGATTTCCATTAATGACGAACTATAAACTACAGAACCTGCTTTCAGTTAGTGTCCAAGATGGGACTTTCTAATAGTATGCGGTTGCTTTCGGTCACTCACCATTCCTCCCTGAGCGGAGACACCGGGCGACATGTTGGGCGGAAGGCTCTGCAGCATCATCGCGTTCTGCATGTTGGGCATGCGATGCTGTTGCCCAGCACCCGGTCCTCCGGGTCCTCCCTGCTGCTGCTGCTGCATCAGATTAACCTGCTGCTGCTGGTTGGGATTCATCTGCTGCGGATTACCGCCCTGCTGCTGGTTCATCATGTGCTGCATCTGCTGTTGCTGCATCACCTGTTGCTGCTGCTGCTGTTGCTGTTGTTGCTGCTGCTGCTGCTGGGGATTCTGCGGCCCATTGCCCGCCTGCTGCTGCTGCTGCAAAGCTCCACCGCCGGGACCACCGGGCGCTCCGCCACCCGCCGCCGCATTTATCTGCGACTGGTGGCTCTGCTGGCGCTGCTTGATGATCGCCGCCATGATCTGTGGATTCTGCTTGAGGATGGTGAGTATGTGCTGGTTGCTCTCGTTGGTGGGATTGTTCTTGATCTTCTGCATAATCTGTGCGAGTTGCTGGGTATTCAGGCCACCACCAGTGCCGCTTCCTCCTCCGCCGCCGCCGCCGCCGCCTCCTCCTCCTGCTCCCGGCGGCGGACGTACGCCGCCAACAGTTCCGGCCATTGGCGGTGCTCCCATTCCTCCCATGCCGCCCATTCCGCCATGCTGTCCTCCGCCGCCGACGGGCATTTGGCCACCGCCCAGCTGATTGGGCAGGCCGCCCATCATCTGCTGCTGCTGCTGCTGCTGCGGTATCAGATTCGTCTGCATCAGCTGCGTCGGCTGTCGCATGCCGCTGGCATTGTTGGCATAGCGTGCCTGGGGATTACCACCGCCAGGATTGCCTGCTCCGCCGGCTACTCCTCCTCCTCCACCGCCACCGCCGCCCCACTGATCCATGGAGAGCAGGTGATTGACATTCATGCCGCAGTTGCCGGAGCCGGGAACTCCTGGGCCACCGGGGCCGGGATTGCCACCGCCGCCGGCGCCCAGTTGGCCAACTACGCCTCCAACTCCAACGTTAACTCCTCCAACGACGCCTCCTACGCCGACACCCATGCCGCCCAGCTGATTGACCACATTCGGATTGGGTCCTCCGCCGCCGACGCCGCCGCCCATCGGGCGATTCATCTGGGGCGGCGCCATTGGAACGCCCTTGCCAAAGTTGCCGCCATGCGAGACCTGCTGACGGGCCGCCTCCTCCTGGACCTGCTTCACCACCTGCAGGACATTCGGCGACGGTGAGTGACCGCCGCCGGGCTTCATGCCAATGCCCGGTTGATGCGGATGCGGTGAGGTCATTCCGCCCATGCCGCCGGCTCCGCCAGCTCCTCCAGAAACGGGCGAGGGCACTGCGACTGTTGAAGGCGACATGCCGCCCGCTCCCGGCGGCATTATGCCCGCCTGGCCGGGTAAAACTTGTTGGCTAACCGCCACGCCGGACATTCCGACCACGGGTACTCCGCCTCCGCCGCCGCCTCCTCCGCCACCGGAAACGATGGCTGGAACTGCAGCGGGACCGGGCAGAGCGGCCGGGGCAGCTGTCCGGGACATGAGAGCCACACGACGACGCAGCAACTGTTGCTGTTGGAGTCTGGAAGGGAAGAGAGGAGATATGTTTTAGTGGGGAGAACAGTGATCAATTTGACGCCTTCAATTCAGTAAATTAATACAAATCAGGGTGAGGAAAATATCACACACTGTAAAAAACTTGTGTTATGTTAAATACCAAAAACTTTGAATTAAGTTCAAAAAAAGATATTGACTTTTGTGTAAAAAATTGTATCCTACACATGTAATTTGTGTTATTTATGCGACGTGTTTTATACACAACGTGTTTTTAACACAAAGAGTTTTTGACATTAAAGTGTCAGAATTGTATGTTGAACTGAAAATGAACGGTTTTTTAGTATAATAATTCATACATGCTTTGAAATGGTGAAAACTAACATATGTAAAAAACACGTCGTGTTAATAACACATTGTGTAAAAATCACAAGTGAGCTGTGTGTGTTTTTTGCTTTGTTTTTTTTAAACAATTTTGCTTCATGTTTTGAACATGCGTGTCAAAATTCGAACCCCGATACAAATTGGCGGGCAACAAATCAATATACAATCAATTAAATCAAACTCACTTCTGCTGGAGCTGCTGCTGCTTGAGCTTGTGCTTGATGTTGGGACAGAAGGGCACGGGGCACTTCTGCTCCTGACAGTGCTTCGCGTGGTAGCAACAGAGGGCGATGAGCTGCTTGCAAATGGGACAGCCGCCGTTCGTCTTTCGTTTGCAGTTCTTTGTGTGCTGAACGACGCGCTTCATCTTCTGGCACGATGGCAAACGGCAGTTGGCATCGCGACACTGGCAGGCGTGGACCAAAGACTGAATGCAACGCTGGATGGACTGCTTGCGGGCCTCCTGCGGATTCGCCTGCTTGTGATCCGCCGGCGCAGAGCCGTCGTCGATGTCGAAGCCGAGCTTCTCCATCTTGTGCGGATGGCCGACCTTCTCCTTGCACACGATGCACAGATCAAAGTCCTAGAGGGAGTGGAGATGGGTAGAAGATCGAGATTAGCATTGCTTGTTTAAATATAAAAAAATTTTAAATATTGATATTTTCGATATTTTTACAATATTGTATCGATAATATCGATTTTTTTAAAAGGGAAAAAGAGTAAAATCTAGAGCAATAAATAAAAATTATAATGATTAGTATAACATCGAAAATATCGATAATGTCGATATTTTTCAAACTCCACCTTATATATTCTATTTTCAAATATTATCATATATTTTTAATGGTTAAGAGCTTTAGTTGAAAATCCCCTTGGTGAAACACTGATCACTGACTTTATGAGTAATAGCTTTTTGAGTGGTCCATCCATTATAAGATCGAATATATCGATAATGTCGATATTTTTCAAGCTCCTTATATATATACATTCCAATTTCAAATATTATGAAATACTTTCAATGGTTAAGAACTTTAGTTAAAGATCCCGTTTGTGAAACACTGATCACTGACTTTATGAGTAATAGTTTTTTGAGTGGTCCACACCCGATCGCAAACCCCCTTATCACATTTCCCACCTTATCTCTGTAAAAATGCCTAGTAATGAGTAAGCAATGAGTTTCTTCTTTAAATTAAAATGAATAGTCTGCAAAGATTCCATCATATAACCATAATAAATACTCACATCACAGACGGTGCAGTGGAAGCGAGTCTCCACCGCCGTCTTGCAATTGTTGCAGGTGTAGACGAACTTATCCTGGCCCTGGTTATGCAGCTCGTACAACATGGACAGCGTGGAGAACTGTGCCCGCCGCAGCGACGAGAACTCAAAGTGCTTGTCGCGGGCGAGGGTGAGGAAGGCATCGCGTCCGTCCATAAGATCGCATGTGAGCAGCGGATCGGGATCCTGGATGGGCTGTTGAATGCAAGAATATAAAAACCAAGTTAGTCCCCCTGAACGATGGCCAAGATCAGACATATGTACTTACCGCTAAACTCGCTGCCGACTGGGCGGAATGGAGACGGATGACAAAGAAGACCTCCTTGTGCTTCTCCATCGTCGCATAGATTTTGGCCGAGAGATCGTTGCCCGATTGGTGCTCATTGGACTTTTTGCTGTTCTTGCGCTGCGCCGCCTTAGATTTGTTTGACTTCTTGGCCTTCTTCTGGCCCTTCTTCTTGCCATCGCCGCTGACCTCGTTCTCCTCGATCGAGAAAAGCTGCAAGGGGTTCAATATTAGTATTATAAAATGATATAATATAAACAGATTAGAGCCCTGCATGAAATGGTTCAATAAATTATTTTGAATTTTTTTGTTTTATATGAATAAATTGGAATTTTGAGTTTAAATTTTCTACATTTTGTTCTCAAAAGAAAGCACAACAAAATCCTGGCAAAAAAATTATTCATTCATTTATTCAATTGGAAATGAATTAGAAAAACATTCAATTTATTTTACATAGAATTGAATTAATGTTTTTCTAATTCATTTTGAATTTTTCTGATTTGTTTAAATGTATTTCACATAGAATTGAATTAAATAAATCAGAACTTTTGTGGCATACTACGATAAAACAAAAATTAAATGGGCTCCAATACAGATATATATATTAAAACTATTTAGCAACTTACATTCGCTGCAGCTGCCGCCTCGGCGGCCTCGGCCTGCTTGCGTTTCTCCTCTTCCTCCTGGTCCAGCTCCTTGATGCTCTCCTCCAGCACATTGGGCCAAAAGTCGCCCTCGAAGTAGGGCAGCTCGGCTGCGGAGCCCAGCTTGTCCTCCATCGCCTGCTTGAGAATGTCCTTGTAGTCCTGTATGATGCGCTCGATCATGCCCTTGTCGAGCATCTTCTTGTACCACTCCTGCAGGCGCTTGGGCTTCGGGATCTTCTGGTCCGTCGGATGGCAGTGGAAGATGTAGTCATCGCCCTCGGACGGCGGACAGGCCCAAATGTGGGCCATCGTGTAGCCCAGCTGCTTCACATAGTCCATGTAGCCGAGCAGGATTTCGTGATAGACCGCTGTGCGGTATTGTCTTGGCCGGAAGAAATGAACCGAGTCCAGATAGGCGATATACACACGCCGCGTATTCGGCGCCGGGCACTCGGATCCGTATTCCTGGACGTGCATGCCAAAGAAGCAGACATCGATGCCGTCGACCTCCTCGAAGGCGAACAGGGCCTTGGCCCGATACGGAAACTCGTTCATCATCTCGCCCTGCTCGACGAAACGCCGCCGCATCCCAGGTTTCACCTCGACGCACTTGTCCGATGAGCTTACGACACGGATGTGCACCTCGCCGGCGCCCGCCTCCTTCTTCTTGAGGAAGTTATTCACCCGCGTCTCGATGTAGACGCCCAGCTTGGTGGTCGGCAGGCGCTTCGCATTGAACTTGTTCTCCTTCCGCTTCGAGTTCTTCTTCTTCAGGCAGTTGTCGCACACAAAGCCGCCGGGCCAAATCGAATCCAGCCAGAGGACACAGATCTGGTGCTGCTTGCGTCCGCACTCCTGGCAATCGACAAACGGCTCCAGCTCCAGGTGATCGTTCTTCATCTCCTTGAACTGGTCCTTCTTGATTTGGCTGAAGGGTAAGGGAGATGATTGGAAGAGGTTTATGAGAAAGGGAAATTTTTTAATGAAAACCTTAAATAATCTAAAACCTTATTAAAACCTTTCGATACCTATTTAAAAACAGCCTATACTATTTATCAAAGTTAAAACTAATTCCTTTTTTTGGAACACAAAATAATCCTTAACAAAAATTCGAAAGTTGCATTTTTATCTGAGATAACATTTTAAATTAAAATTAAAATTTGGTTTCAAACTAGAACTAGAATTTTAACGATATTTTTAATAATATTTTTTAATTTGCTTTTCATATTTTTAAACCTATTCCCAAAACTAATATCTTTACAATAATAAAACTATTTTTCTCATGACTTGATAGCATATAATCTCCTATAGGATCATAATTTTAATGAAAACTTATGAGAATTGTTCTATAGTTTCTAAAAATAATCTTTTTTTTTTGAGAATAAAAACTAATCCTTAAAAAATATTCAAAAAAAGTTGTACATTTACTGGGTTCTATACTCACGTTTGCGATTGCAGTGGATCGTCGCCCAGTGTGACCGTATCGCCCTGGATGTCGTTAAAGCACTTTTGGCAGTAGGTGTATCTATTTGAGGCGACACCGTATTCCTTTAGACTGTTGTTTTGTTTTTTTTTTGTTGTTCGATTGCGTTTGTTTATATTTTGTTTTTTTTGTTTATTTTTTACGATTTTAGTTGATGGACGAAATTTGAAGATGGCAGCCAAAAGGGGAACACAACAACACAGGCGTGTGTACAGGTGTATATGGGTGTTCAGGTGTTCGGGTGTACAGGTGTTCGGATGTACGGATGTACAGGTGTGCGTGCAAGCGAGATGGTTATATGCATTTAGTCAATTGCGAGAGTGTGTGAGTGTGGTGGTTTATATGTTGTTTTTATTTTTCATTTTGTTTTTCGTTGTTTTGTTTTTTTGTTGTCAATTTTCACACGCACACACAGAGATTGGTACACACACACAGAGACACAAAGTTTGATAAAGACACGCAATAATACAGTTATGAGGTGACACAGATTAACGGGTAGTATTATTATTATTATTGTTTTTTTGTTTTTGTAGTAGTTGTTGCGGGGGAGAAAAGGAAATCAAAAAATAAACGTAAAAAGAAAGAAAGGAAGAGAAACAAAAAGAGTGATTTGATTTGCATTAGAATTTTTGTCACATTAATACAACAATTAGGGGGTAGAATTATTATAGAGGGGGTGTTTCTTAAATATCCCAGTAGCATTACGATCTTATGTTCTTGTATACTTTATAACATTATATACACATATTACACATAGAAAATAAATTGGATTTCTATATTGATTTTTTTAAAATCATATCATAAATCTCATATGATCGTATGGTATTTAATTACAAACTGGGATACTCAAGTTTTCTTATCATATGAGAGATCGGTTCTTTATCATATAGAAAATCCTTACTCTATATGGATTTTAAAAAAATTTTGTCATAAATCTCATATGATTGTATAGTATTTAATTACAAACTGGGATACTCAAGATTTCTAATCATATGAGAGATCGGTTCTCAATCAGATTATTGGATTATTAAGGAACTATGTTAATTTTTAATCCGTTTTGGGTTCGTTTTGCTCGGTTCTGACTACTCGAAAAATGTGGAATGTTAAACCTCGACTTGGAAAGCGGGAATTGGATATAGTTTCTGGCCATGATGGATGGCAAAAGCGGCGGTTTTTAAGGAGTGTGTGTGTGTGTATCGTTGTTGGATTGTTATATCTATATATTATATATATTTTGCGCAATGTGCAACATTTAATATTTTTTATGTACACAGCAACATTAGGGATAAAACACACACACGGGGGGAAAACACAGAAGAGAGAGAGAGAGGGAGGAAAGGATCACAAAGGGAGATCAAGGATCAAAAGCCATCAAATTAGTGCACAAAACGGACATTTCTTATATTTTATTTATATATGATAAAGATGCTGAGAAAGCAGCCATCGAACATTCACATGGAATCGGTAAAAGAGAGCAAGCGGTTTATAACTAAATCACAGGACCTGTTCTGGTTTTTTTGTTAGCATTTGAAGGGCCTAAATATATACTTAATATATTTTTTGATAATTTTTTGTTTTTATACCGAAACAGGCCTCTCTGATTACAAAACATTTTTTAAGGACTCGCAAGCGGTTTAACTAAATTACATTTCACACATCAAACAGAGAAACAGAAACGAAACGGAGCCAAGCAAATAGTTCTCGATGGGGGATCGTATTGTATAGGATCGTATCATATAGGATCTTATCGTTTAGGATCGTATTGGAGATCAACACATACCTGTTCTGGTAGCTGTAGTACTTGGCGTCCCTTGGAATCGTACAGAGCTGCTTGCCGTAACAGCAGAGCACCTGTGGATTGAACGTGTACTTCCGGCCGCAGCAATAGCCGAGTGCCTGCATCACAGGATCAATCTCCGCCTCAAAGACCTCAGAGAGCTACAAGAAAATATTATATATAAATTACAAATCCTTCAAGATTTAAAATCTTTATAAAACCCACCTTTGTGCAATAGCGATAGACCCGCGATGTCTTGCGATTATACAGCCAGGCATTGTCGAACATCAGCCAAACATCGTCCACATACTCCCAGGGATCACTGTACTTGCCATTCTGGATATTGGTGCGTATGGTGCCCAGGTCCATGGGCTTCTTGACGATCTCAAAGTAATCGGGAATGCCCAGAGCCTGGGGATCGACGGGATAGCGAAAGGGCACCGATTCGGGCTCCTGACGATAGAGCTTCTCCAGCGTTGGCAGCAAAGCGGTGCGCAGCTCTTCGGGATTGAATTCTAAAAGGGATCGGGGGAGTTATTATATCAGATATATATATATATATATATATTTCAAGGTTCGGAAATGTAAAAAACATGAAAAATTGTATTTAACAGTGAGAGCAAAATGGTTGACATTTGTGTCAAATACAAGTGTTTTTTACACAATGTGTTATTAACACTACGTGTTTTTTACACACTGTTTTTTTTAACACAAATGAAAATTAAGTCGAAGGAAAAATGAAAAATCAATATGATATCTTATTTGTTAGTTTTAACTCAAAGTATGTAAGAATTCTTATACTCAAAAACTCATTGTGTTAAAAACACGTTGCGTAAAGAACACTTTGTGGAAATATCACAAATTAACTGTGTGTGTTATTTATGTTTCTAACATATGTAGGATACAATTTTGTACACACAAGTCTATAATTTTTTTAACATGTTAATAACACTAGTTTTTAACACTGTGTGTTATTTTCTGAACCCTGATACAATATCTAGCGAATAAAACTTACGGCATTTCTTCTTCTTGTCACCCGCATTCGGAGCCAGTGGTTCCGGCACCAGTGGTTTCGTATCCGTCTTCGGTTTAATATCCACACCACCACCGACACCGCCCGAAGCTCCACCATCGTGGGCCCCGTTGATGTTATCCTTGCCGCCGCCGGCGCCACCACCGCCACCGCCTTCACCATGATGCTCGCCCGCCTGCGATCCTCCGGCCTCGTCGACATCCATGGCCTCCGTTTTGATCTTCACCTCGCCATCCAGACCCTCCTCCGTCTTGATCTCCATTTTGATCATGCTCGTCCCATCGTTATTCACATTCTTTCCCTTTCCACCGCCCGTCGAGCAATCCATTTGCGAGCTATCGTTATTCCCGCCGCAACTGTCGTCCATGAACTCCTTCTTGATATCATCGTCTTGCTTAATCGAGTCCAGCTTGCCCTTGGAGGCCATGCCACCGCCTGTATTACCACTTCCACCACTGCCATTGGTGTTCTCCCCAGACGGCGAGGGCGTCTCATCGTCATTGTCCCGCGCCGCCGCCTCCAGAGCGGCCATCTGTGAGGAGAGACTGCTGCTGCTGCTCATCATGCGACTACTGGAGGATGTTGTCGTTGTAGTTGTGGCTCCTCCGGATCCCGTTGCCGCTCCTCCCGACAAGAGGAGCATTGGATTGCTAGCAGGCGTCGTTGTAGAGCTTGTGGTTGGCGTGGAAACCGAGCTAAGTGGCGTTCCAGAGCCCGCCGAGGAAGCAGAGGATGAAGTGGAACTTGCACCCGCTGCAGTGGCTCCTCCACTGTTGCTATTGTTGCTCCCACTACCGCTTCCACTACTCGCACACGTTGCTGCTGCCGAGGCGGGCGTACTGCTGGCCGCCAGACCGACGGAGGCACTGGTCGCCGGCACTGGAGAGGCGGGTATGTAGGGTGGCGTCCCCGGACGATTGCTTAGCGGTTGTTGCATCAAACTGCTCACCGATGGCGGGTTGTTGTTGGCACTGCTGCTGCTATTGTTGTTGTTGTTCGAGGGCGTGCCAATCGAGGGGCCGTTGGAGAGGAAGCCAGGCGATGGACTGGGCGCGGAAACGGTTACATTGGAGGCACCTCCTCCTGACGCTCCCGCTCCCGCATTCATGGCCTCCAAACTCGTGGGCGTGGGCGGCATGTTGTTGAGAACACTGCCAGGTTTCTGTTGCTGCTGCTGCTGTTGCTGCTGCTGTTGCATTGGCGAACTAAAGCTGTTGCTAGTCGCCTGTTGCTGCTGTTGCAGGGGTGTGGCATTGCTGAAGGGCGATTGCGGCAGCAACATTCCCTGTTGTTGCACCTGCTGTTGCTGCTGCTGCTGTTGTTGCTGCTGCTGTTGCTGTTGCTGCTGCTGGTGAATGTGTCGCTGCTTCATCATCTCGCTGAGCTGAGGATTTGCCCCTGTGCCGCCGTTGGCATTGATAAACTGCTGCTGTTGCTGTTGTCCCGGCACTGGACTGGTCAGAACATTGGTCGTCTGGTAGGGTGATAGCGCTGGATTGACCACCATGCCACCGGGACTTGGTCCAGGTGGACCGACCAGCATTTTCCCAGCTCCCGAGTTAGGAGGTTGCTGCTGCTGCTGCTGTTGCTGTTGCTGGGGGAACTGCATGCGCTGCTGCTGCTGCAAAGCGAGCATATTGCCGCCAGGCGAATGACTGCGCATGGCCACCATATTATTGGTGACGCCTCCAACGCCTCCGACTCCTAGAATGCTGCCAGGTGGACCCTGTGGACGCAATTGTTGCGGGGGCATTACACCGCCCATGGGACTGATGCTCGGATGAATGCAGCCCTGCAGGGGTTGCTGCTGCTGGGGGATAACTGCTCCTCCAGCTCCTGCTCCTCCTCCTGCTGCTGCTCCTCCCGTTACTCCTCCCCCTCCCGCTACCGGATTCGCTACGCCCTGCTGCTGCATCAACATCTGCTGATGCTGCTCCTTCCTCTTCAGCCGCTTCTCTTCCAGCTCCTTCTGTATCTTGTAGATCTTCTCGGCCAGCAGATGATAGTACTCCGACCTGGACTTGGCCATCTCGTACATATCCTTCTCGACCTTTTCCGCATAGGAAACAAGATTGTGCATACGCTTATCCTGCATGGTCGTGGGATCCGAGGTGGGGAAGATGGCCTGCACGAGTTTGTGGACAAGATGATTGCGCAGATCGGCGGTAACCGATTCCCGCCAGTCTTTCTCGTTGTCTCCCGGGGCATTGGAGTTTCCACCGGCGCCTCCTGGTCCGCCTCCTCCTCCTGGATTCTGGTTGGGATTACCAGCGGTGCCGCCACCTCCTCCACTACCACTTCCCGTGGTATCGGCTGGCATTAGGACACTGGACACACCGGCTGCCACTTGACCACCGCCTCCGCCGGTTGCTCCTGCGCCCGCTCCAGCTGCTCCGGCACCCGATCCTCCAACCACATGGCTCTGCGGATGCACTTGGGCCACCTTCAGCTGCTGTTTGCTGTTGTCATTGGCTACTCCCGCTCCGCCGGCGGCTGCACCACCGAAATTGGCATTGCCAAAGCCACCGACATTGACGGAAAGTGGTGCTGGAATGTTGCCACCACCCAGCTGGGCGGGATTGGGCTGCTGCTGCTGCTGTTGCTGTTGCTGTTGCTCCACCATGTTGGCCAGGCCACCGCGTCGTCGGTTCTGCCCCTGCTGCTGCTGCTGTTGGAGCATCTGTTGCTGCTGCTGGTGGAGGCTATTCACATCGTTGGGCAGGACATTTGTGGGATTACCGCCGGGATTACCGGGTCCCAGAACCCGGACAGCCGGCTGAGCGCCTTGCATGCGAATCACAGGCGGCAATCCTTGCTGCTGCTGCTGTTGCATTCCACCAGCGGGGACGGGGGATAATCCCACCTGGCCCATGCCATCAAAGCGACGGAGTTCCTGTTGCTGTTGCTGCTGTTGCACTTGCTGCTGATGCACCTGCTGCTGCTGTTGCTGCTGCTGCTGCTGCGTCAACTGTTGCACCATATCGGCTGGGGTTTTGGGACCACCTGGTGCTCCGCCGGCTCCTTGCTGCTGGGGAAGAACTATGGCTGTGTTTTGGCCACCAACTCCGCCTGGGGCAACCTGCTGCTGTTGCTGTTGTCCCTGCTTCACACCATCCACCACGAGACCCGTGAGATTGGGTTGCTGTTGCTGCTGCTGTTGTAAGCCACCTGCTCCTCCAGCTGCTGCTCCCGCTGGAGCTCCTCCTCCTCCTCCCGGTGCTCCTGCTATTCCCGCTGGACCTCCTCCACCTCCACCTGGTGGCACATTGGAATTTTGAAAAACCGAATGATTCTGGCGAAAGGGATAGCAAATAATGCAGCCGCTATTCGTGCAGGTCTTGTAGTGCAACAGGATTTGGCGCGAGGAGGCGCAGTGCTGCATGGTGCAGTCCTTGCTCTGCTTGCAGGTGCCCATGTGGGCCAGCACCGACTTCATCGCCTTGCAGTAGTTCACATTGCAGACCTCTCGATTGGGATTCAGGTTCTCCCGTCGATTGCATTTGTGGGCATGCAGCAAGAGCATCAGTTGCTGTTGAATCTGCCGCTTTCGGTCGTCGGGAACATCACGATTGGCGCCGCCGCCACCGGGACCACTGGCCTGGACAGGAGCTCCTCCGCCGCCTGCTCCTCCCGCTGGCACACCACCTGCTCCCGCTGCATTGGCCACCACAGCTAGTCCGACTCCCTGCTGCTGCTGCTGCTGGGAGGTTCCCGGCTGCTGCTGCTGTTGTCCTGGGTGACCGAGCAACTGATTGGGTTGCGGTGGTCGCGGACCCATGGCTCCCGCCTGCTGTTGCGCCAACATCTGCTGCTGCTGCTGCTGCTGGGGATTGCCGCCTACCAGCTGGCCAGCGGCTCCCACGGAGCCATCGCCTCCCAGTGTGGACATGGGAACGACGGTGCCCACGGGTCGATTGCCCTGCGGCATGCCCGGCACAACGCCTCCTCTTTGGGCCATCTGCTGGGCGAGGAGTTGCTGCTGCTGCTGTTGCTGCTGCTGGGGATTGTTGCCTCCGCCAGGACCACCATACTGACCCACTCCATAAGGCAGACTGTTGAGTTGACCTGGTAAAAAGAGGGGAAAATGCAAAATTAGATACCAAATCAAAAACAAGATAGGAGATCTTTCCTATTAATTATCAAATCACAAACATTTTCAATTTTCTATTATTGCTCCTTAATTTTCCGACAATTCCTATGGCGATTTTTTCTAAATTTAATTCAAAATTCATAAATGTTTAAATTTTAACTTTAAAAAGCTATATGATATTATCGTCCGATTTTGATAAAACTAAAATCGAAATTCGGAAATATTCAAAAAAAGTAGAGTAGAAGAAAATACAATAAAAACCAAAGAAGCTATAATTTATTTACTCTTACTTTCCCATTAATTTTCCGACAATTCCTATGGCAGCTAGATGATATAGTCGTCCGATTTTTTTTTTTAAATTTTATACAAAATTCATAATTTATTAAAAAATAATATTCCCAAGAGTAGACGGTAATAATTAAAAAAAAACACGGAAGCTAGATTTTTTTTTACGTTTTTTTTCCGATCTTTCCTATGTGAGCTATAAAATATAGTTGTCTGATCCATCCGGTTCCGACTTATATACTACCTGCCATAGAAAGAAGACTTTTGGGAAAGTTTCATCCCGAAAGCTTTAAAACTGAGAGACTAGTTTGCGTAGAAACGGACGGACAGACGGACGGACAAACGGACAACATCTTCTTCTCAGCGTTGCAAACTTCTGACTGAAATAATCAACTAATCAACAACTACTTACCCATTTGCATATTGGGATTCTGCATGCGTGGTCCACCGCCACCTGGTCCATTACCCGGACCACCGGCTCCTCCGGCGGCGCCCATGAGATGCGGACCGCGTAGCATATGCTGTTGCCCCACCATCCTGCCCATCATGGGTCCATTCTGCATGTGCATGCCCTGATTGGGGGTCACAACAGCTCCGCCAGCTGGTCCGCCACCAGCTCCTGGACCTCCAGGCACCGAAACACCTGGCTGCTGCTGCTTTAGATGATTGACCATGCCGCCCATGCCGCCGCCAACGCTATTGGTCAGCACCATGTTGCCCAGATTGCCCTGGGCAATGGTGTTCATGCCTGGAATTAAATAAATTAACGTAATATTAATATAATTTATAAAATATATAAAATATTTAAGAGGAGCATCTCCCACCTGGTATGGCGTTCATGCCATTGTTGCCATTATTCGATATCGACATGGGCATCGAGTTGACCATGCCCATCTGGGTGCCCACCACCTGCTGCATGCCACCCTGGTTGGGTGACTGCAGATTGGGCGACTTGCTGCCCAGCTGCTGCATTCCGGGCACCACCATGGCTCCCTTTTGTCCCTGCTGCTGCTGTTGCTGCTGCTGCTGCTGGAGGAGATGCTGCAGCTGCTGGTGCTGCATTTGACTGATCCTGTTGGAGGCACCACCGGAGTTATTGCCACTGCCGTCGTCGCCGCCGCCTGTTCCGGATCCGTTGCCGCCGCCGCCGCCGCCGGCTCCGTTCATCTGGGAAGGCACCACGCCCACGACGCCCACATTGACACCCACTTGGGGTCCGGAGTTTGGGCCTCCGGGTGCTGGTGGTTTATTGGGTCCACCGCCGGCGGGATTTGGTCCGGATGTGGAATTTGTGGTCACGCCGGAGGCGCCGCCGCCTCCATTGCCGCCGCCAGCTCCGCCGGTCAGCTGATCCGACCAGCCGCTGTTCGAGGACACCAGCTCATCGGGCAGATTCTCCTCCAGAAAGTAGGAGATGTCCGCTGCGGGGAAGAGATCAAGAGAAGGGTTTTTTTAATATTATATTCTATAGATCTCCAAACTGATTCATTTCGTAGACCGCAAAAATGGTAAAATCAAAAAATTTTATTAATTATATGGTGAAATTAATAAATTACTGTCTTTTAAAGGAATTCACATTTTATATTTTAGATAGGTAAAAAAGAAAAATAAGCTGTCATATCTGTCATATTTTTAATAAGTACAACTGTCATAAAGATTGGTTATGATATTATAATTATATTTAATATAATAAAATACTATTGGAATAGAAAAATTTGCTGTCATAGCTGTGATATTATTTAAAAAATATCCCTTTTTTACAAAATTCATAATCGAAATGTTTCAAAAAATTTGCTAATGATTGGTTATAATTTATATTTATCTAATATATTTTTAATATAATATAATACTATAAGAAAAGAAAAACTTGCTGTCATATCTGTCATATTTTTAAGAAATACATCTGTCATAAGGTATTTTTAATAAATTTCCTACTTAAGTGTCTTAAAAAATTTGCCTATGATTGGTTATTACATTATAATTATAATTACAATATAATATCATTTTATAGAAAAATATAATACAAGAAAAATTTGCTGTCGTATCTGTCATATTTTTAATAAATAAGACATTTTTTATAAATTCCCTAATCAAAATGTCTCAAAAAATTTGCTAATGATTGGTTATGATATTATTATTATAACTATAATTATAATATTATTTTCCTAAACCTTTAGAAAGATTTAAATAAAAAGCCGGCTTTGCTGGGAATTTTCTTTGGCCTGTCAAAAAGTGACAGTTGGAAAATGGGAAATGGAAATGGAAATTTCTGGACTCCGCTATACTCACTTGGATCCATTTTGACCCGCTTCTGGGGCGGTTCGTCTAAGTGATCGGCCATCATATAGAGTTAGTTGGATGCTTCCGTCGTTGTGGACGCGAGCGTATCCAAAAAACGAAGACGAAACGGAAAACCTTCAGGGGAAAATGAAGCGGAGGGAAAAGCGTTGTTGTTCCGTTTTTCCTCCGCGTTGTTTGCCGGTTTCTTCGATTTCTCTTTGTTTGTTTGTTCCGAGTTTTGGTTTTGTTTTTTCTTTCGTATTATAACAATTTTAATCGTTCTTTTTTTTTTTTTTGCTACAACTTTTTTTCTCCGTTCTGATTTATAAACCGACAACGTTGAAGTTCAGTCGTAGTCTGATTTTCTGTCGGGATTGTCAAAGGAGCTCGAGCTGCTACTTTTTGACAGTTGTTGCACGGGTTGCCAGAAGGTTTGTATTTGTTTGTTTAGTGTTTAGAGTGTTTAGTTTCGATTGATTTGCTGTTGTTGTTGGTTGTTTCTGGTTGTTGTTGTTGTTGGTTGTTGTTTTCAGACACTTTGCAACACACAGAGGGCACACACGCACAATACACAACACACAAAGAGGCACTCAAAAGGCGTGGCTGGCGAGGATTGGGATTTGGTATTGGTATTGTTGGTATTGTTGGTATTTTGGGATCTTAATGGAGGAGCTGGTTGCAATTGTTGCTGAGGTGTTTGTTGTTGCTCTAGCTTTAATTATTAGTTGCAACAACGTTGCCGGCGCTATCGTCACCGCAACCTGGTCACCTGGTGGATATGGTGACCGCGTCCGCGTCGTTGTTTCGCTTCCACCCACTTCGACTCCTCCTCCGACTCCTTCTTCGACTCCTTCTTCGACTCCTCCTTCGACTCCTCCTTCTCCCGCTTCCGCTGATCCTGGAGGACCGCGCAGCCACCACCGCCTCCTCGTTGCGGAGCCGTTGAGATCGTTGTCGTTGTCGCCGCCACTGGCGCTTTGGCCAGCAGACAACTTCTCCTCCTCCTCCTTCTTCGACTCCTTCAACCGCTGCTGGTTCTCTTCCTCTTCTTCGGCAACTACTACTGAAACTCCTTCCTTGTGCTTCCTTGGCTGCAATTTGTTGTTGTTGTTGCTGCTGCTGCTGCTACCGCCGCCGCTGCCTGTTGTTGCTGTGTTGTTGTTGCTGCTGCCGTCGTTCTTGTTGTTGTTCTTCTTATTGTTGTTGTTGCAATTGTTGTTTGTCGAACAGCAGCAGACACACGCGTGCATTTTGTGTTGTTGGGCCCCAAAAACACCAAAAGTTGACCTTGGCTGGGCGGCTCGTTGTTGTTGTTCTTGTTATTGTTTGTTTGGTTTTTTGTTTGTTGGTTTGTTGTTTGTTGCCTGCCTGCCTCCACACTGAGCGAAAATTAACGGTTGTTGTTTTGGCTCTCTCTCTCTCTTCCTCTGCCTCTTCCCTTTTCAATCCGCCTTTTTCCGCTACTTTACATCTTTTCTGCTATTTTGTTTTTGGCGGCTTTTTTCGGCTCCGCTTATTTTCTTTTTGATGTATATACTTTACTATTTATTATTTATGCGTGTGTGTATATAATTATTATGCACTTGATTCGGTTTTCGTTTACAATTAAAATGAAAAAAAAAAGCAATTCACATTGTTGGCTGTTGTTGTTGTTGATTTTGTTGATTTTGTTGGGTTTGTTGTGTTTCGGTTGTTTTTGTTTTTGTTGCTGGCGCTGCTTCTGCTTCTGCTGTTGTTGTTTTTGCCGATGTTGCTGCTGCTACTGCTGCCGTTTGCCGCTCTAACATTGCACATAAACTGTAAACGCACAAGAATACCAAGGGAATAAATAATGCTGCCTATTAGAATTATTATTGAACGAACACTCGGAGCACCGCACACAAATCAAATCGAACCGAAAGCAATAGCAATATTTATTTATTTTTTTAGCCGCGCGCGAGTGGCCGAGAACGAAACGGAGGGGAAAAGGGAAACGGAACGAAACGAAACTAAAGGCAACGAGACGAGACGGCGATAAGATCGGGGGCGGACGAGAGAACTCTTCTCGCTGCACTCTGCGCCGCTTGACGACCACTCGCTCTCTCGCTCTCCGCTCAGCTCTGTTCTTGTCTCGCAATTTTATTCGCCAATACTATGCACTGTACTCGCTGCTCTGCCCGCAGACGTGTGGACGTGTGTGTTGGCCTCTCGCTCTTTTGGCGCACACCACGAAAATGAAAATAATAAATTTTATTTTGCCGCCAGTTCCCAACTAAAAAATAAAACAAGTGCCGTCGCTGGCAAAATTATGCATTAAATGAGGCACCGAAAAATTTAAAGTCAACGCCGTTAAGCTGGGGGAGGGAAAAAAATCACCCTTTTGGGGGCAGAAAAATACTGCCCAGGCAGGGCTAAAAATCAACTAAAAATGCCAGCCGGCTGAGCCAGTAGTTTACAGCACAATTTACATTTTAAATGGCCGAAAAAGTGGCCGTATTTTGATTTTGCTTCCGCATTCGAGCGGCCATCATATGAAATTCAATTTGTTGGGGCGGCGAGTGGCGAGTGGGGTGCGAGCGGGACGACCGTAGGGTTAGTGGGGCTGGCTGACAAAAGCTTTCACACACGCACGCACGCACACACACTTGGGGCTTGGGGCGCGCGTACAGAATTCTCACAGCGACGCCAACGTTTTCACCACACACAGTTACACACACACACACCGAAAGCAGCGAGTTCGTGCAAGAGCGAGCACGAGTCCGAGAGAGAGAAAGCGTGCGCTGGTATTGGTGCCGAGCGGCATTGGTGTGCATACACACACGACGGGTAAGCGGCAATGAGTGCGAGGAGCATTGGAAAAAGAAAGAAAAACAGACGTTCAGAAATATATTCCATTTTTTTCTGTGTTCGCTCGTCGTTTTCGTTTCAAAGTTTCTATTGCAGAAATTTTTTGTGTTGTCTCCGCCAGAGCGTTTTTGATTTTTCCCGGCCCGCACAAAAATCGCAAAATTATTCTGAGCAAATGCGAAATTCGAGAAAATGTCGTAGAAAATTTGAAAAAATTTCCGGCCACATTTCGGCCGGTTGTCAAAATTTTACACCACAACCGATTGCCACGCACTAAATTTCTAAATATTCTTCGCAATTTTGCCGAATTTCGGTTTCGTACCATATATTTTTCACATTTTCCGGCGATTTTAGAAAAATCCCACAAACTTTTTCGCAACACTAAAACAAAAAAATTTCAGTCCGCTTGTGTTAATCGTTCTCCGAGCCAAAAATGTTTTTGCTTCAGTGTGACCGCGGCTGGCCGTTCAAATACACCACCGAGCACGAAATACACTAAAATTGACTGTTCGACACAACACGCGAGTGGCTCTCGTCGCTCTCTCGCTGCTCTCACACGCTGTTTTCGCCCTGTTATCGCCCTGTTAGGGCCCGAAATCCGTACAAATGCCGCTGCTAGCGCGCTGTTGTCGCCGTAACAGCTGTTAGCCGCTGTCCAAAGCCTGTTCCGCTCTCGCCACGCGCTCTCTGAGAGCCGATACGCACACACATCCGCACATATGGCGCGCCAGATAACGAAGCAGCGAGTCCAGAGATGCGCCCTGCTCACCGGTGACACACTCGCCGATATTTTTATGCGGCCGCAGTCACTGCTTGGGTCACGAAAATTGCGCACAAAGAAGTTTGGAGGAGTGATAACTTTGAAAAAAAAATTCTGTTTTACTGGCATTTAGTTGGAAAGGTTCGGTTTCTTGTTGGAAACAACTTTAATAAATTCTAAAATATTTTCTTTTAATTGCGATAAAAAAAATATTTCAAATAGATACATTCGAAAAATTGTACTACGAATTCTTCAAGAAAATATCGCCTCTTGCTAAGAAATATTTCAAATAGATACATTTGAAAAATCGTACTACGAATTCTTCAAGTAAATATTGCCTGTTGCTAAGAAATTCTAATTAAGAATAAAGTAACGATCTTTACAGGCAATCACGAAATCGAGTCACTGGCTTTGGCGCATCTCTAGTGGGTGCAGTGCGAGCGTGTTTTCAGCTTGCTCTCGCCGCGAGAGCGAAAAAGAGAGTGAGAGGGGGCAAGCCGAAAAATCAGCCGCCGCAGGATAACACTATCGTCGTCCTTGTCCGACGAACCGGTGGCCATGCAAACAACGCACAGAACAAATTAATTTTCAAATTGTTCAACAAAATGCCCCACTGGCCTCCGATTTTACCCCCTCTTTGCTACCAGAATTTTAGCGATTTTTTTTGGGGCCGCTCTTCCGTTAACTTTCCCAGCACTTTTTCGATTTTCGCGCGCTGTCGTATTTATTTACAATTTTTTTGTTAGCGGCCGCCGTTGTTTGTTGCACATACACAGCGCACACAGACACACGCTTTTACTCTGACACACTGGCGCACGCACACCGACACGTTGTCACCGAAACGAGCGGGACGGCAATATGGCTGGCTGGCCGTCGGTGTGTGGGTGCGACGGAGATGGCACGAGCGAGACTCCAACGAGACGGGTCAGCGAGTCAGCGAGAGATTTGGATTCGGATTCGGACTCGATTCTCTTTTCTCTTTTGCGATTGGGAATAATGCCCGACTTTTAACACTAGATGAGATGCGCTGGCTCTGGTTATTTAATTATGCTATTTTCCTCGGGACATTGCAAATCGGCGGCATTTAATTTGCCGCCCAGCACGCCACACAAACCGATAGTTCCGATCCAAACGTCACTGCTGCGCCTCGCGTGTACAATTTGCGCCAATTTTCCCCCCTTTTTCTCGTCTTTTCCGTTTCAGCCCAGCACCGCTCCTCCTCCTCTCTCGCCACATTCTTATGCGGCGAAGTGATGCCCCTTCGGCTACTTTGTAGCCAGCGAGCGCTATTAGTCATTATCTAGCTTTTTTTATTCAGTCGATTTTTATTGTCATTAGTATCATTACAGATTAAATTAAAATTTATAAAAAAAAAACGTTTCAATCAAGCAATCTTTTTAAGGCGCTTTTTTTAATAAATAACACTGAGCTAATAAAATTTGCCAGAATATGGCAAATTAAAGTGTTAATTTTAATATAAAACACAATTTTACAACTATTTTATTTTTTAAAAAATTCTGAGATATTTTCTAGATATTCAGAAATGCCATCTCTTAGGAGCAAGAAAATTAATATTAAAAAAAAAATCTATTTTGATTTGGGCAATTTCGATAATTTGGGTCATATAGAAAAGGTACACGCAAATCGTGCGTTTAATTATATCAATTTCTTCTTAAAGTTGACAACTATTATAAATTTATAAACTACATAACTTTAGATCACAATTTAGTGTAAGCAATCCAAAATGAATGTATAAGTATTTAATTAACCTACTTGAACAATATTTTATTGCGTTTGTAATTAGTTTTATTTGTTACAGTTGTTCACCCATTTAAAATAGACAATTTATGTTACTTGAGTTATTGAAACAGTTATTTTGCGATATAATAAGCAATACTTTAAGAAGCGAATTATGTGCCTTTTATATGTTTTAAAATTTTAAGTTTAATTTATAATAAATTTACAGAAATTGTTTTTCACCACATAAAAGGTGGGAAAATGCGTTTAAAAATGCCGCCAACAGTGTTGTAAAACTTGTGAATGCTATTTTATCCAAGTCTCTCACCATGGTTAGCGGATGCATTCACCATGGTGTGAAGGTGCACTCGCTTTCACGGGAGCTTGTCTCCGCTATGCAAGGTGGGTGTATCTGCTAGGTAAGGTGTACTCGCTAATTGCAGTTGCACAATGACAAAAACCGTTTTTTAAATATTTAAAATGTATCACAAACGTATTTAAAAATATAAAAATTTAGAAGTAGGAATAGGCGGCTTCGACATTAACTTTTACAATATTTCGCTCACATCACTCACATCGCATACATCTCAACTAAATTTTATTAAACAAAAATAACGAAATGGATAAAGTTTATATGACTCTAAGAAACCGAGTTGTGTACTACACCGAACCAACAAGAAGAGTGCGAAGGACCAGAAGGGTGCAGAGACAAGCAGATCAAAATGATATGCAAGTGGTAAAGCCAATCGAGCCATCGCCGTTACCGGCAGAAAATGGGAGTGACCAATCGAGTGATAGCGAAATGGATCTGGAGATCCCCTGATATAAGGTAATTATCTCCATAAAGATTATATAATTATAGTAATATTCTGAATCCTCAGGTTATATTTGCTTAAAGTTGGAGGTGCGTTAAATATGTTGTAATTTTTGTTAATATTTTAGTGCGAGTGAAATTCAAATTCCAGTAAGTAGTCCCTGTTTATTATTATAATAAATAGATATTAATGATTTCCCATCACACAGGTTGTATTTTTAGTTGAAGTTTAATTTAAATTCTGGTAAGTCAACAGTAAAAAATTTGCATATTAGTAGTATTTCATTTTAAAGTATTAATATTTAATTGAAAATTTCATATCTAATATTTAACGTCATTAAAAAGCATTTCAATTAAAAATTAAAGTTTAATATGCTTAAATTTACTATAAACTGTTATATTAATTAATCAATTAAATTCAAAGATTCGTATTGCATATTTAAATTAATAAAAAACGTAATATTTCATTTGAAAATATTTGAATTAAGCTGGAAAATAGTAATATTTAATTGTAAATTGCATTATTACGTTAAAAAGAATTTCAAATAAAAATAAAAGTTAAAGATGCTTAAATTTGCTATAAGCTATTAAAATAAATATTGTAAATATTTAAAATTACAAAAAAAAGCAAAGCAAAAATATTTAGATTGAAATAAAATCTTTGGATTTACTTTAAATTTGATTGCATAATAACCTCGAAATATTTTTGATTTCCAATCGCACAGGTCGTTTTTCTTTTTTTGTCGTATTTTTGCCAAAAATATTTAGATTGAACATGAAATCTTTGGATTTACTTTAAATTTTATTGCATAATAACCCCATAATATTTTCGATTTCCAATCGCACAGGTCGTTTTTCTTTTTTTGTCGTATTTTTGCCCTTTGAACCTGTTGTGCCGCCAGCGAAAAACTGAAACAAAAACGCATCGAGCGAGGACAATGGAGCTGCGGCAGGTTCTAAGGCTCTAAGGCTCTAAGGCATCAAAAGAACAGCGACTCGCAATTTGGAATCGGACCAATTAGTTGTCCTTTGTCCTGGCACCTTTGTCGCCTGGATTTTCGCAACACGGCGCACATTGATTTTTCCCATGGCTATTTTGCCACCGTTTTTCCACTGTTCAGGGGCCGCCAAGGAGTCCTGTTTCGTTCTCGAGGATCCTTTTGCCTCTCCCTCTTCTTCTTCTTCTTCTTGTTCGTGGACCGTGGAAGGAGCGCAGCGGGGCGTGCGGAGCAAAGATCAGAGAAACGCTCCGCCGCGGGGCGCCCCCTCAACTGATGATCATTTCGACACCCCATTTATGCGGCGGTCTCTTGTGTGCTCTCCTCTCCCCTCCTCTCCTCTCCACCGGTTCCCTTTGGTCAGCTCCTGTTCTCACCGCACTGCGAGAAATACTAGCACTTTGTTTTGGTCATTATAAAAATAATGAACCTGTTCAGAAAAAATGTTATTATAAAAATTTTAAAAATATTTTTAATCAAAATTATGAAAATATTAAAAAAAAGTTGTATTTACCCCTTATAAAAATTGTGCAAATATGTTAAAACAAAATCATACAAATCTTTGAAAAAGGTAACATACCCTTTATAAAATTGTACAAATATGTTTAATCAAAATTATAAAAATCTATAAAAATTGTTACATACCCTTTATAAAAATTGTAAAAATATGTTTAAACAATATTTTAAAAAAATGTTTCCCGGTTAATATACAAATTATAAAAATGTCATACATGTTTGCTTCTTTTAAAAATTCATAATAAAATATGATTAATAATTTAATATTTAAAATATGAACTATATGGTTAAATTAAGAAAATAAGAATAAAATACTTTAAATATTTGCTGTTGGTTTTACCATAATTGTTCAAGTTACTTCTTTAGAAGTATTTTTATTTTTTTTCCATGAATGCTTGGATTTTTTTCGAGTGCAGCAACAAGTGTCTCGAGTTCGGACATCTACAGATTTTTTTTTTTGCGGCCCTAGCCAAGTGATTTCCCGGGAAGTGTTAGAATCCCCTTGTTTCGGCACTCTTTCTTCGCTCCCTCTCCCCTTCTCCATCTCTCTCTCTCTCTTTCTACCCCTATTTAGGGGCTGTAAATTGATGCTGTTGACATTTTTAGTGCAAAACGGTCCCCGAGGAGATCTCTAATATCTTGTTCGCGGTTCTGGGACCCCTTCCCCTTTC